TTATCTCACTGAGCAAATAATAAATATGAATTTGAAATGAAGCTGAGGTAAATATATATACGCAATATTACAAATACGAAAATATTATTTTCTATTTTTCTTATCGATGCTATATTTATGCATCGGTTGATTTAATAGAGATGCACAGATAATAGAAAAAAGTATGTGAGTACTTACATGATATATATATCTTGAATATTATTATAAACTTTCCACCGCTATACTTTCATAAGATCCGGATGACGCATGGAAGTAAAGGCGGCTATGCAATGCCGTTTGAGAAAACTGTAAAATTCGGACAGTTATTGCAGCGTAATCGGGCAATAATTGTGTCAGATAATTCGATTGTTAACACGTGTCGAATACCGCGACGGTCGCCGGTGATCGTCTCGTTCACTTACGTACCACGTATAATGAATTGCATCTGAAATATCGATTGGACGGCCGATGGGGAGCCGATGAAACGAGGTGAAAGATATATGCGACTCGAACTGCACTTTATTTACCGTGTCTTTGGTAATTTAATCGTCAGTTCAGATCAACGGTCGACGTGGCAATGAACGTGTCGAGTGTACCGTCCGGCACGGACGTTTGCATTCTCAAACGGTAATGCATCGCGGCCTTTATTCTCTTCCGTTATAAATCAATGCGATGTATATCTACGCATGCACTATAGATCATGTGAATGGAGCACTCATCATTCCCTGAGGTCCCTTAGCCAGATCCACCGACGAAATTGCATCCCTCTGCACACGGAAGCAGCGCCGTGGCGGTTCACCCGCATTCACTTTACTCGCGACGCGACACTTACATTTTAACGACGGCTCACGAGTATTCCGTTATTTACGAATTCGTTCGGACGAGATACGAGATCGAAGTTTCTTGAATGAACGTCTACCGTGGCACGATCAATTCTGATCAGGGCTGGAAATTTATATTCGAAACTTCGTATTTCTGAACCTTCGACACATTATAATCGAATAATGAAATTTTGAAGCGTGAAAATTCGGATATTTTAATATATCCGAAACTCCGAGAACTGGAAAGTGTGTTCGATTATTAAGTTCTTCCATGTGGAAGTTTCTTTCTAAATAATGTTTATCGTTTTAAAAAATATAACTTTTTTCATATTGCGTTATTTTGTTGCACTCTCCAAAATTTGTTCTGTAAAGCTTTGATACTCCGGATTACTCCAAGTTTCAAATTTCGTCGTCAAACGTAGAATTATACTGAAGTTTCGAAGCTTCGAATATGTCGAAAAGTACTACCTAATTCTGACACTTCAACGGCACACTCGCGTTTCGTGAACCGCGTTTAAAAAGTCGGAAATAATAACTATATTTATCAACACGTACACGCGAGTAAACAAAACCGCGGCTGTCGCGAAGTTTATGTCTTGATACAAATATTTCATACCAAATATAATCGCGACACGAGCGAATAAAATGTAGCGATCGCGAAATCTGTCAATGCATACGCGAACAAAATGCAATCTAGACTATCGTAAGACTTGTTAAAATATCCCCGTAAATGAGAGAACTAAAGATTGCAGCGATCGCGAACTTTATTAACGCGACTGATATTATCATGAATGAGGGCTTCGCGATACGTTTTACGAAGTTCAAGGGTCGTATTTCATCCGACGGCGCCCGGACAATCGTGTCGAAAAATTGAGCCGTCAAACGAAGTAGCAGTATAAGTCAGTAATAACGAGTTATTCATTTTGAAGCCAACGATATATTTCGTTAATGCATTAAGAGAAATCGAGACTCCATTTTTTACAGAATTTTCTTTGTTGCAGAGTACGCTGTATGAAAACAGTTTTCATATGAAATGCAACAACATTAAATAATAATTTTACTCTTAATTTAATTACCTAAATTCTATAATTAGCCATTACTGATGTCAGATATTTTCTCGAATTCTTTTACCTCTCAGAACGCAAAAAAAGCATAACGCGCTATATTTCGTTCGTTCGTTGGCTCGTGTTAAAAAACACGCAGAAGTCTACGAGCAAAGTAAATCGCATTGATTTGTAACGACGTTTCGGAAAGAAAACCGTCACCTGAAATCTTTCGGAATATTTTGCACATTTTTTTGACTCACCGAACCGCGTCGAATTTCGGAGCCGGCCACGTTCCGCTACCGAGATCTGCAACGAAAAATATGATTTCCCTGATTAGATTTACGAATTTTGCTCATCGAGCAAATGTAGGTTCCAACGAATTAACCAACTCGCCCTTTGCGGTCGTAATTCGAGCCACTCTGACGGCTATATCTCGACCGCAAAGGGTGAAACGGGGGAGCATGACGAGGCTGCGAACGTACCTTCGAGCCGACTCTGCTCGGCCCAAACCGGATCCTCCAGCAACTGTTTTCTCTGCAGCATCTCCCGCGTGGCCCGAACAAGTCCGAAGAAGAGCACAATTTTCCCGATTAGTCACCGTAATACACAAATTATTCGGTCTAACCGAATCGAGAATACGGAAGTTCCGAGTGCATTTCCTTTCGAGGAAAATGTAACGCGCTAACTACGCCTTTGAACCGCGCGTCGCTTCTACCGATTGCAGTGATCTCGACGCGACGATCGTGGCGCGAAAACCGTGAATTCACGTTACTTCCCCTTGTATGAAATTTTCCTTCTCACGGCATGAATTCTGCGCGAGTGTCGACAATGAAAATCGTAAGTTAAAGTCCACGAGCGAACGTGATAGCGACGTGAACGTGCGGGTAAAGAGTCACGAATGAAAAGTCGCCTCAATCATTCTGACGCTCACGCGCGACTACAAGGGGCTACTAAGGGAATTATAACAGCGAACTCACCTCCGAATTTACACTCGTTGGAGCTACAATCCATCGTATCAAGATCTGTCAAATCTGCAACGGATAATATCTCTCTGGATCAATTATCAAAAGAGAAAGAAAGGTCGCTCGATAAGTTATCAATACAAGTGGTTGCGTGGCTTGAACCAAAATATCAGAATATCAGATCAATATCAGATTGAATAACTGAAAATTACATTTGCAGATGCAAATTGCATTTTCGCAGACGAATTCATTAAAGATTAAAATTAAGAGAAGTATTCGATACTCCGAATGTAGGATTTGCGCGACCGAGCGATTTCCTAATCTTATCGAGCAGCGTGTCACGAGAGTAACCGCGATCGCGGTTATTTAATTCCCTGCAAATCACAGGGAGATGCTGACCAATTACGATCGGCCGCGTCCAATTCAGCGAAATCCAGCGGAATGACGTCCGATGTGTGCAACGCTACGTCGAAGACTGTTGTGACAGCGAGCATGTCGCATGTTGTCGTCATATCGACGGCCACGTGACTTTCTGAAGTGCCTCCAAAATGAAAAGCAATTTACAATCTTCCCCCCGTTTCACATCGTATCGAGCCACGTGCGAACGAATTTATCGTACATTTATCTTACACGTTCCCGATTTATTTTTCATATCTTTTTGAATTATATATCATCACCGGTCACAAGATACGCCAGCGTGATTTATAACTCTCTTGCACACTTCTGCGATTAAATATCACGCGCTCTTAAGTTCTCATTTTCATCATCCTCGCCGGGTGCATTCGGTGTCGTTTGTATTCCTGAGAATATCTAATATTTCACACGTGCGCAAATATATTGTAACGCCGGCGTCAACGATTATTTCATCGCGCGAGAAATTTATTATAGGGCCTCATCGATCCAAAGTTTACACCAGCTGGATTACGTTGACGCGTTGAATGTGAAAGATTCGGTAAATACGAGAGATACATGTCCACGGGGGACGAGAAATCTCGACGTTATTTATAATAACGTTAGCGTTACAGGACACGTACTCGTAGAATTAGAACCAGACGATTCTTTTTCTCCGCCCGGAGAGGAAAGGGCTGAGAGAGAGAGAGAGAGAACGTCCCCGACACTGGCGAACCGTCTCGCACACACACGCTCACTCACACTTGAGCGCATCGTCACCTACAGGCGTGCGTGGTTGTCGTCTCTCTTTCGTTAAATATGTGTGTTACACGCGTGTAAAATGACTACACGTGTCGGAGCCTTTGATCTCGACCATTCATCACCGCTTGCGAGAAAAAGTCTAATAATATTACATGCACGGAGACCACGTGCGTGTGTGGACACGTGTATGAGTGTGCATGTGTGTGTGCGCGCGCGCGGATATATACCTAGAGCGTCGTGGAAGCACCACGGATATACTTACGTGCTTCATCTTCGTAAAACGTTTTATTCGCGTTCGGTGAAAGCGTTTGCGATTTTGCCAAAAGTCACATCGGGTATTCCGACGGACGTGATGGAGCAACGCCTGTTATTTATTATCATTGGATTTCTGCAACATACCCAAGCCCGTTTGATATCGCGCAATGTAGCGGCGGAATGTTCAATCAAGTCGCGAGTAACTTTCGTCACGTGAACGATCGTTGAGGGAATGCAGGGTGCGAAATACTTTCGTATCCGGCGGATCTCTGGATTGTGAACGACGCACGAAGGATCGAGCTCGGATTTCCAGGGTCGCTACTCTCTTCGCGCGTACCGGCCGAATGGTCCGTAATTAGGCTGTGTTCGAAAACTTTGCCTACCCATGTAGCACAATGTTCAAAAGACGAATGTCCCAGAGATATTCGAATATCTTTGAAACGTCGTTTTTTCAACATTTGTGCTACATGGTTAAGTGCTCGCGCCGTTCGGAAACGCTCGGGGTGTATCAGTGCGACTCCCACCCCTCAGGGTGGTATTTCCGAACGTAGCCTCAAGCGGAACATTTTCTATTCGAAAATTTCAAGCATTTGCAATATCATAAATATTCGAAGTTGCGAAGCGCATAAAAAACTTATCGGAAGAAAGACGTTACATACCGGCGAGGATAAACCAGCCGATATACGATCTTTGATATCGCATTTTCCATTCGAAGTCGGAGTGAAATCCGCTCCCGTTACCATCTTCTCTACCCTGTTCTAAACGATGAATTCATTGTTTCGCAGAGAACGCCAACGAGATCGGGGCGCAACCGCAAGCGCAGCAGTCGCATCAGCAGCAGCAGCAGCAGCAGCAACAACAGCAGCAGCATCAGCAGCAATACGGTGAGGTGAATCAGCTGGGCGGCGTGTTCGTGAACGGCAGGCCGCTCCCCAACACCGTCCGATTGCGAATAGTCGAGCTCGCGCAGCTCGGCATCCGGCCGTGCGATATATCGCGGCAGCTACGCGTCAGCCACGGATGCGTCAGTAAGATACTGGCGCGCTATCACGAAACGGGTAGCATCTTGCCAGGCGCGATCGGCGGCAGCAAGCCGCGCGTCACCACGCCGAAAGTCGTGCAGTACATCAAGCAGCTGAAGCTGAAGGACCCGGGGATCTTCGCCTGGGAGATCAGGGACCGGCTGCTGTCCGACGGCGTCTGCGACAAGTACAACGTGCCGTCGGTCTCCAGCATCTCGAGAATACTGCGAAACAAGGTCGGCGCCACCACAGCCATGCATCACCATCCGCATCATCATCCGGCGCACCACCATCATCACCATCTGTACGCGGCCGCAGCGGCGGCCGGCGCGACCATTTGCCCGGTGCCGTATCCGCCGACGGTGCCGTACCACCCGACGGCGCCGCCCTCCGTCACGCATCACCATCACCATCATCATCACCATCAAGGTTAGTATGTGGGTACGGGTAGGTAGCCGAACTGCGTCTTCCGAGTTGCTCTCTCATTCACTTCCTCTCTCTCTCTCTCTCTCTCTCTCTTTTCTCTGTGTAGAGGAAAAACACGAAAACTTAGACAGGTATAGCGAACCGATATATTCACGCGGAGAAAGTGCTGTTGAATCAATAAAATTTCCAATCTTCAATGACAAATGTTATTAAAACCAACTATTACACGGTAAAAGGATCTTTTTCCGTATCACAAAATTCTTGAAGTTTAGAAGAATATGTGAAATTAAAGATAACGTGTAAAGATGTATATGTATAAAATAATGTAATTTCGGCGCTTTTGTTGATTTTTTTTTTTTTTATCATTTCCCGCCGGCATCATGGATATGTCGGTTTTGGGGCTTACCTTCTTACAAGTTAATCTTAAAACATAGTTATTCACAAGGAAATATATAATAATTTTCATAACTACCGTATATTTCGGTAGAGAAGTGTTGCTGGTTTGCGCATGGATTTTACCACCTTCAACCGGACTTTAAAGTCAAATGGTGCGACAATTTTGGTGCTTTTCCTCTAATCTTTCTCCCTTGATTGCATTCGTTCGAGGTTATAACTATTGTTATTATAATAACTAATATATTTAATATAATTACATGCGATCATTCTTCGGCGCGATCCGCGAGTACAGATTTCGAGCGAGAGTTCTTTCTGATCTGCCTCGTTCACGAGGAACCGACGAAAACTAGGATAATTCTTGTGTTTACATGTGTACAGGTTGGTTCGTTATTGGCGGTACAAGCGGGCAGGGAGTGACGCCACGTGCGAAAATCTAGAATAACGTTTTTCTCACATACACAGGGCTGCTTCCCCGAGGAGATCTGCTTTAGAGACCCGTCCGTCCTTCCCTCCGTACGCGTGCACTCGGCTAAGAATGAACGTAGAATTGTACATCTCGTTGCGGACGATATTTCGCTAAAACGCTTGTCGAAAAACTCGCCAGAACTGGCGGATCTGTTCTAGCGTGTGAACGCACGCTTCCTCCCACCGGGGCTCGCTCCTCGTGATCGGCCACGCGTTCTCGATCGGATTCACATCGGATGACTGCGAAAAAGCCAGTCCGAAGTGCGCATAAGTGTCACTTTACCCTCGGCGTTTCGTATTCGGTGCGCGAACGACTGCGGCGAGTTTCGGATCATTACCGGACTATATCCGGCACGACGACGTCGATGGGACTATTCATTAGGTAAACGCGCGTCTCTCTTGCAACTCCAAATTCCCGTTTGTGCCCCCTCAAAATAGCAATTTCTGTTTCAGATACGCTCGGACGGCGCTCTTGTGCGACAGATTAATATAACGTAACATTCGTGTATTCACAGGCAGAGAGAGAGAGAGAGAGAGAGAGAGGAATCAATCATCAACGTTAGTTGCAAATTGCGGAAGACAAAAAAAATCGAATTCACGTTCAAAGGTCACTTGTACTCTGTCATTTGTACGTCTGTAACGAAATGATACTGTATAACAAAACTATTAATAGAATAAATAATTTATACGAAGAACAAAAACCGAGTTGACTCTTCCGGGAGCTTTTTCCGCAAAGAACTCTCACTCGAAGTCGCAGTGTTAACGGTAAGGATCGAAGGTACGCGCAGGATCTCGGTACTCGCGCAGTTTCGCAGTATCTGTTGCCCTCCTGATAACAAGCATCGATATCCGAATTCGAAAAAAGAACCTCATCCTACCTATTTGGTATGCCGTAATGCGTTTCCAGTTGGAGCGTCGGTAGCAGCGGGCAAACTGTCGCCGCCGTCACCACCTCCGGCGGTTCACGCCAGCGGCGGCCATCAGACGGCGGCCAACAACGCTCTGCAGTGGCCGAGTCCTCACACGGTGCACGATATCTTGGCTAACAGCTGCAACATACAGACCTCCTCGTCCTCGTCCTCGCCGACCTCGCCACTGTGCCCTGCGATCAGCAACAATCACCATCATCACAATCATCAGAGCGACAATCCCGCCAGCAACAACAGCAATAACAACGGCGGCAATAACAACAACGATCAGACAACGTCGAGCGGTTACTTACATCCGCATCATCCTCATCTGGCGCACCACCATCACCAACAGTATTACGCCTCGGCGCTGTATCATCATCATCATCATCACGCGGACAGCATGGCGGCGGCAACTATATCATCCACGCTCTCTGTACAGTCCATCATGCTGCAGTCCTCGGGAGCGACCAGTCAGCCGGCTAGTCCTTGTAATTAGGGGAAACGACCGCGATTTGCTGCGCGAACTGAAAAAAGGGATCTGGTAGTGAGTAGGAAAAGAGTGATTTTCATTTCTGCCCACTTCTCCGGACACAGTCTAGACCGGAACCAAGCGAAAGTTGAATCAGGTATCTAGTACCAGGCCTTGTCCAGAGCGTTCAGAAGAAAGCGCTCTGTTTCCGAGAAATAAGGAACATATCCGTTAAAAAATTTTCATAAATAATTATGTATGATTAAATGTAATTATATGTAAGACATCATGTGTAAAATTGGTTTGTATATAAAAATATATTCCTTTTCAGCGTTTCAAGAGCTTTCAATTCGTACTCGACTGTGCCTGAAATGCGGAGCAGGAAAATTACTATTTTGAAAGGCATTCTTTGGTCAACCTTCCGAGTATTTGAAGACCACATAGCTGTTAACAATAAATTACTAAGTATTTTATTTTTAATGATTTTATTGTGAAAAACGAGCATTTCTTATAATGGCCCGGACACAAATGACCTGGTTGCCACTCGGAGGGTTAATATTTGCCGATCAAATATTTGATTATTGCAACTAAATAATTTAGTTACGTATATCGTATACACTATATATTCTGTATGTTGAATATACGAAACTAAATTATTTGATTGCAGTAATTAAATCTTTGATCGGAAGATATTCATTAAATCTCAGAATTTGTTATAAAGTCCTTTTTTCAGTGCGATTTGTTAATGGCACAATGGCGCGTCGATAATACGTCATCGGTGTAATTATGATCGAGCGATCGAAAACGAAGAGGTGAGAATTTCGGTAGCGAAAATTCGAAACGATGGAGCGACAGTCTCGTAGCGAATATTCAAACTGACGAATCGGTGGTCGACAAATTCGCAAAGCATCGCATAGGTTAACATTTAACGAACAGAGAAGAAAAGAGAGAAACGATTTTATATCATTCTAAAAGAATTGTAAATAAAAGATCAATATTTTAACGCGTAAGAGATATTAACGAAGTGCCTCCCACGTGCCTCCTATAATAATGTTAAAATCGCAGAACCCGTTCTACGCGCGTATGTGTGTATATGTATGTATGTATGTATGTAATATATTAGAAGAGTGATTGTGTAATTAAGTTATAAGGCGGTTAGAGATAATTGATAGTTTGTTAATATTCGCGTGCGAGTAGACTGTTTTTCCTTTATTTCTTTCTTTCTTTTTAATTAACACGTTCTCGAGAAAATCAAGAATCTTACCATCTTATGACGGCATTTCCGACTTCCATAAGATTCGTTCGTTTTGTACCGACGTAAGGAGACTTACATGATGTAATTGTTAACCATGTTACACGGATAGTATATTTAAATTGATGATATTTCTTTTTGACTGCTGGTCATTACTGATATATATATATATATATATATATATATATATATATTGCTGTTAAATTATTTGCGATCTCGCAGACATATCGTTGAGACAATAAAAAAAATGGCGCTTTAAGTTGCTCCGTTTCCCCATTGTATCCCTGTTGTATTATTACGAAAAGAAACTTTGAGATCGAAGCAGCGAAATTAGATTACCGATATCAATCTGTGTATCGCCAGTTGAATTGTGACACGCCGAAAATCGAGCGTTTTCTTCACCGACCGTGTCGGTTGGGGATGTTTCACTTGATACCAGTAGCGAGATTCAAGCTTCATTCAACCCGATCCCTTATCGTTGAGTATAATTAACATGACACAAAATGACATTTCGCTGATCGATCGGTACAATGTGCTTCGTGTGCATAATGCAGTTATTGCTATCCGCCCTGATTGAGCACGGGATCGTGACTTATCGGCGTTCGTCGCATTAAAAAAGAATTAGATACGGACACTGTGTTGCGTAAAGTACGGTGATCTTCGCGTGTTCCGAAACTCATTCGCGAGATCACCGTCCGACAGCTTCGTGGTGCGTGGCGAGCGCAATAGGTCTGTTCCTTCCACCTGCACCTTCTGCACTCTCGCTTCTCCCTCTTGCTCCCTCCAACGAGGCCGAATGTGCGCCCGCTCCGCTTCTAAATGCGAAAAGTGGTCGGAAAGTGCGAACAGACCTAATACGCGTCAAATACCGACAATTCACCAATGATCGTCGTATTTTGACAAAGACCGTCGCATGGACGCCGATAAATCGGCAAATTTGCCTCGCGAGATCTCCCTCGATCGTCTCTCAGCGCGTCGTACACTCCGACTTTTTCGTGTCGGGATTTCACAGTTTGCAGGCGCGGCGGTCCAAATTATAGCATGACGTGTCTTGTCAGCGTGTATCGGACGCATGCGCAATGCCGCCTTACGTGGCATCGGCAGCAGTCACGGTTTCATCGACGTACGTTACCTTCGTTTTCGCGTAAACATTTTTAGCAATATTATATTTCTGTTATGATTCATACATATTTTACGGTGTAACGTAAGTATACGGTATTTTACAATGATTGTATGTGAATTGCCTATTGATGTTATCCTAACGTCCTTTTGGATTTCAAAACGTCACATACGCTTCTCCTCTCTCAGCCAGTGGATTTTTTCACTGTCTTCATCTATTACACGTTTTATTTCAACGTGAGCTCCAGTTGCCTTCGCGCATTGATCCACGCTTAATCTCTCTGTGTCGTGAAAAGATTACAATTTACTTTGTGCGTAGATTGCCTCCTATTTTTTGAAACGTCTCCGTGTGTCTCACTTATATATTCTTTGATATGATATCGCATATTATATACTGGAGTCGTATTAACGGGACTTTCTTCTTTGCTGGAGCATATTGAATTTTCTGCAATCGTCCATCTTCATGCTACTTTTATGTAAACCGGATGTGTCTGTGATAATTTTAGTGTAAGTTCAGCATAGCAGGTATTCCCAGGTATCTCTATACGTTAAATTCTTTTTTAACAGATGCAGCATCTTCAGGAAATAGGCACACAGCAGTATGCTGCGCCTGTGCCGCCAATGAACAGCCAGCAGAACTTCTCGAGACCGCCAATTGTGGGACAACAAAATCTGGCAGGCTCACAAATGCATTCTCATTTATTGCCTACGCAAGCCATGGCTCATTCCCAAATAACAAGTCCTCCAGTGGCACCTGGTTCCCATATGTCCCCGCGTTTACCGGTAGGTCCTCCGCCACACGGACAGCCTCCCGTAGGTTATCATACTCAAGTGACCAGTTCTTCGAATACCATCCTACCACCGTCTGGAGCAGGACCGTACAATTCTGCACCGCCATTGCCAGCACAGACTGTCCCAAGTCCAACAGGTCCGGGCTACTCGCAGTATGATCCGAGACAATTCGCTCCACCGCTCTCCACCGCTGGTGGACAACAACCTATCACGACTCCTCCAGGGCTTGGCTTTCCTCAGGCCCGACCAACGCAATATGTGCAGAATGCACCTCCGATGCCAGGTCAGGCCATGACGAATTCCGGTCCTGGAGGACCGGGAATGGCGCAGCCTGGACAGAGGCAATACAGTTCCGCACCTCCACTGCCGGGGCAAGCTTTATCCAGTCCTTTAGGGATGAATCGCATGTCACCCGGAAACACACCGGACTATCAACAACAACCCGGGTACCAACAGCCAGGGTATCATAATCAAATGGTACGACTGTTGTGATATGAGTTTGTTAATCGTACGACGCAAGAGTGCTCACCGTTGTGTCTTTCGTACCGCAGGATATGTATAATAGTCAAAGAAGCCCATATCAAAGCAACGTTACCAATACCGCGGGATATCAACCAGGACTTCCACCGCAGCAAGCTAGACGACTTGATCCGGAACAAATGCCGAGTCCGGTACGTGCATAATTATTGCGAATCTTATTTATCCGTCATCTCAAAGCATACATTGACCCGAATTGATATTGTTACGCAGATTCAAGTGATACAAGATGATCAGCGCGCGCGAGGCGGGGTGTTTATAACGAATCAGAGAGGTCTGGTGCCTCCTTTAGTGACGACGGATTTTATAACTCAGGATCAAGGAAATGCATCCCCTAGATATGTCAGGTCCACCATGTATACTGTTCCTACTACCGCAGATATTGTAAAACAGGTATGCGTATAACCAACGAGGCAGCTTTGTGTTTATAGTTCCTCATTACGATTCGTATTCTGAACTCACTTTTAAAATACCATAAGAATGCCTTAAATGAGACTTCTCAACCAATCAGGTAGTTCCTACGTCACTTTTAGGGGCACTTTTAAAATAAAAAAAGTCAGTTCTGTCGCATCTTTCGCAGACCAATGTTCCCTTCGGGCTTGTGATAAGTCCGATGGCTCGCATCGTAGAAGGGGAGTGTGAACCGCCGATCGTAGACATGGGTGAAATTGGGCCGGTGCGTTGTGTGCGTTGCAAAGCGTACATGTGCCCGTTCATGCAATTTATCGACGCTGGCCGAAGATTTCAGTGCATATTCTGTAAAGCGACAACGGAAGGTAATAATCAACGTTCTCGGTTCCTGCGCATCTCGCACACTTTTTTGTTCCCGTATCAGTTATTTACGTGCTCTCTCCGTGCTTATATGTAGTTCCCGGTGACTATTTTCAACATCTGGACCACACGGGTCAACGTTTGGATCGTTATGAGAGACCAGAGTTAATGCTGGGCACATTCGAATACATAGCCACGAAGGATTATTGCAGGGTAATGAAAATTTACAGTCGATTCGGTAATAATCTCGTATCACCCTCAGTAGAATTATTGTTTTGCGATGTTTGCTGGAAAAGCTGAACTCTCTTTTATCAATAAATGTGCCTTGAATGTGGCTTCTCAGCCAATCAGGTGGGGCACTTTTATCAAAAGTATAAAATAAAAGAGAGTCTCCGGGCTTTGGAAGATAAGACTTGAGATAAGGTTTGTATGTTAACTTACGCATGTTTCTTCTCTGCACACAGGACAACGTATTTCCGAAATCACCAGCCATTGTGTTCTTAATCGAGGTGTCGTATAATACAGTGAAATCTGGATTAGTCAACTTGCTGTGTACAAAAATGAAGTCTATAATAAAGAATCTACCCATTGACGCTGGACAAACCAAGAGTAACATGAAAGTTGGCTTTATAACGTACAACAATACCGTGCATTTCTACAATATCAATCCTCGTCTTGCTCAACCGCAAATGATGGTCGTCGGAGATATTCAGGATGTATTCATGCCGCTTCGGGATGGATTTCTATGCGACGTCGAGGAGAGCGAAGCAGTTATTGACAGTCTTATGACACAGATCCCGGAAATGTTCGCGGACACTCGAGAAACGGAAACGATTCTTGCTCCCGTCATACAAGCTGGATTGGAAGCATTGAAGGTAACAAGCAGGACGTTGTGTGTAGAGCTAAAAGAGGAGCTATATTTATTTATCTGAAATAAAGGAAGAAACGTGAATTAATATTACTGACAATTAATAGGAACGTTATTAATTTAGTTTCATTTGCTTTTTCAGGTATCCGAATGTGCTGGCAAATTATTAGTATTTCACTCGTCCCTACCGATCGCCGAGGCACCCGGGAAGTTGAAGAACCGCGATGATCGTAAATTCCTCGGGACTGATAAGGAAAAGACCGTGTTAGGTGCGTAACTCACGGTCCGATCTAGGAACTCAAACAGTCGTGAAAATGACGTTCCACTTTTCTCCGCAGTGCCGCAAAACAACATTTATAATAATCTAGGCCAGGAGTGCGTGGGCGGTGGATGCAGCGTGGATCTGTTTATCTTTAACAACTCGTACGTAGATTTAGCGACGATCGGACAAATTTCTCGTCTCACCGGCGGGGAGATTTACAAGTACACTTACTTCCAGGTGAGCCAGCAGAATAGAAATATATAACGACCGGATAGGCCGTTCTTAACTTGGCGAAGCGAGAGTACAGTCTGTCTCCTCTGTTGCAGGCGGATATCGATGGCGAAAGATTGGTGTCCGATGTTGTCAATAATATTAGCAGACCGATCGCCTTCGACGCTGTCATGCGAGTGCGTACGTCCACGGGCGTTAGAGCGACCGATTTCCACGGGCACTACTTCATGTCCAATACCACCGACATGGAATTGGCCAGTATAGATTGCGATAAGGTAATAATCGCGTTCCAATTGCAACTTCCTACTTTCTTCAAACTCTCGCTCGACTCGCGGTAATTTCGGTTTGACTTTCAAGGCAATCGGGATTGAGGTTAAACACGACGACAAGCTGGCGGAAGATGAAGGCGTCTACGTCCAAGTGGCTCTACTGTACACCTCCTGCAGCGGCGTGAGAAGACTGCGAATCATAAACCTGAGCCTGAAGACCTCGTCGCAGATGGTCGAGCTGTATCGCGCGTGCGACCTGGATGCCATCATAAATTACTTTTCCAAGCAAAGTGAGTCGGCATGATATTATTGCAAGAATGAGTAACGATGAATATGCAACAAGTATAAAGCAGCAATATGTAATATCGCACTCAGGTGTCTTCAAATTACTGGAGTCCACCCCGAAGACGGTGAAGGACAACTTGATCGCGAGGTGCGCGAACATACTGGCCGCATATCGAAAGCACTGTGCATCACCGTCCAGCGCTGGGCAACTGATATTGCCGGAATGTATGAAATTACTTCCACTCTACATCAACTGCGTATTGAAAAGTGATGCGATGTCCGGAGGTAAGGCTATACTTTTTTTTCCCGCCGGCTTTACTTCAACTTTGACCTTTGTCTCTTATTCTCTATGTTTTTTTTTCTTAGGTGCTGATATGACCATCGACGACAGATCTTTCGTTATGCAGGCGGTTGCGACGATGCCTATCGCTACGTCCGTTGTGTACACTTATCCCAGATTGCTTCCTCTGCACGACGTTGATCCCCAGGACACGGATTTACCTCCGATGCTGCGCTGTTCCATTGACAAATTCACAGACGATGGCGCTTATCTCCTCGGTAATTGCACTGGTCGATTACATACGTTTTCTTGGGTCGTGTACAATATCGTGTAATGTCAAATTCTCACGATTACTTGAAGTAAAAGGTTCATTCTGTGTTATTATCATAACTTTTAATATCCCAACGAATTATATATTTAACGCATCCTTCTTCCTCTTCGATTCGCAGAGAATAGCATCCACATGTTCCTCTGGCTGGGAATGGCTCTTTCTTCTCAATGGGTACAGGGCGTCTTCGGGGTACCTTCAGTGGTCCAGGTCGATACCGATCGTACTGTACTGCCAATCTTAGATACTCCCTTGAACAACAGGATCACGGATATTATAAATCGTGTGCGCGCTGAAAGGCATCGTTACATGAGAGTGAGTTCAATCGACTGAGTGAACGGGACTGATGGTCGCGCCAGAGAATACTGTGAGGTGACCTTGTTCTTCCTTGTTGCAGTTAACGATAGTCAGGCAGCGTGAGAAACTGGAGATGGTGCTGCGCCACTTTTTGGTCGAGGACAGAGGAAACGATGGAAGTCCCAGCTACGTTGATTTCCTATGCCACATGCACAAAGAGATAAGAACACTTCTTAGTCAATAACTTCTCTTTTTTTTTTTTAAAGTGATCAGCTTACCTTACCGTAATTCGAATTCCTGATCTTTTGCATCGGTGATTTGTTATCGCGTTTCCTCGACGGAGCTCGATCGAGAGACTTTGTAATTCAATCATTGAACGTACATCCGCATTGAAAAAAAAAAAACGAAGACGTGAAAAAGGTATGAAACATGATCTACACGCAGGGTAGGCTTAGAAGAGGCAGGATCGAGAGTATCTCTCGTCGAACGTAGAATCGTTCGCTTCTTCTTCCCCTTCTTCGTGAGGAGTCGAGCGGAAATTGAGTAACCATGCCTTGCAAGGAGGATGCTATTTCAGTGAACTAGGACCACGAGGGTCAACGTTTGTTTGCGTATTCGTGCCTTTGTGTATCTAGATGTAGTCGTCTGAGAACATGTTCTCGTGGCGGCGGCATTTTACCTCACCTTCTGGAACTGCTGCTTTAATCCAACGGCACGGTGATTGAATTCTCACTTGAATCTCACCATCGGGGAGAAGTCAGTCGGCGAAACTGCGCTCCGAATATATACGTAGCCTGAGTTCGTCTCGCAACTCGAGCGTGCGTGTTATCCGCCTCGACTCTTTTAAGCCTACTCTCTGTCACGGACATCTATATACGGACTGGCAGGCTGGATTTGAAAGAACATGACGAATCATTCCGACCGATATTCAAGTACAGATACGTATGAAAGTTAGACACGCTTGCATCGTTCAGTCGTATAGTAAACGTATGAATAACTATGTGGATAACGTGAAATTGTATTATCGTTATACTTTATTACTTAAGTAGATCATTAATGTTATTACTCTCCCCATACTAAGTTAATGATAATAAAGAGTATAGTAAATCAACAGTAAGCTTATACATATATCGATGAAATTTGTGTTAATAATAATAACGATGATGATATACCAGAGGTGCGTGATTCAAGCGATGCGGCGGCATTGCTACGCCCAAGTACATAACAAAATGACAGGTTCATGATAATGTTAATAATATTGGTTTAAGAGAAATTATTGTATTTGTGCGAGAGGCCGGGTCTTTTTTTAATCACACGCTCGAATAAAGAACAAAAATGTGGGCAAACTGAGGTTCTTATTGTGATCTTTACAACGAAGTAGACGTAGGTGAAGTTATTTGTACGATTGATACATCGTCGTCGGGGTAACGTGCCGAGAGATTTTCGATCCATAAAACGGAACGTATTGTCGAATTTGCGTATGTTTGCTTGATAATTCTCTTTCAGTTTATATATCGCGCACAATGAACAATTATACAAGGTATATACCGTAGAATAACGGTATCGTCGATACGCGAGATCTTGCGTACTAACAAGTGACCGATGGGTACGAAACCTTGCCGTTTTCTGTGCGGGTCAAGTAGAGCCGAACAGAACAACAGAGTTAACCGAGAGAATCCAAAGGCGAGTTCTATCAAGACCGATCACACTGTACGCATACATATCGAAACAGAACTTAGAAAAGAAGAAGAACAGATTCATCGGACTCTCGGCCGAAATTTTGCCCCCCGAGCTGACGGTTCCGATGAAGACTCGTAATGTGAACATTTTCGTCAAACATGCGACCCATATTGTACAAGCTGGCCCTGAAATAAATCGGACGAATCGAGGGAACGTGTTTTTCCACCAGTTTGAGGCCGAAATCCGTCCTTATTAATCCCCACCGTTTGCCGAAAAGGAAAACAACTTGCGGATGCAACAGTGTGACGCAGGTCTTCACTTTCACTCCACGGCCGAGCGCGAGTATCCGTGCGGCTTGATATAATCGCATTCCGCGACATTCCGCGATATTAAAGGTCGATCAGTCACTTCAGTCGACCGCGCCGCCGCTACGAGACGCGCCGTGTATGATGTGAGCCGTCGCTCGCCGATTATGATTAATTACCTGCGGCGGATTTCGATAATACCCAGTTGAGGAACAACGTGGGAGGAGGTGCGTGCGAATATCGCGGCTACCACCTGCGTGCCTACGCGTAGTTTCGAACTGCGCTTGTCTCAGGGGCGCGAAAATTGTGCCTGAATTACTTTCGAAAAGATATTCAACGATGAGTGATGTCAATTGCCTCGCCGACAAGGTGACGTTCGACGAAGCTTGCGTGAATGTGATATCGGACTATCGCGATGACGACTCTCTGTGGCTTTATTCGCTCTCCACTGACTGCTCGTCGGTAAGTACAATCGTGCGATCCGCTCGGGTAATGTTTAATCCCGTTATTATTGCAAGTAAATACGGGGACGATGAGTAAATATCGTTATCGCGCGGCGGGTAGAATCGAGCTCCCGATGATCCAAGTTACGAGGATAACGAAGGTGTTCAATATGGAGCGAAAGGGAGAACGTAAATCTCATTGGCGAGATATGATTCGCGGAATCTGACAATCGCAATTGGTTTTTTTTTTTTTTTTTTTTTCGAATACTGTGTTGCAGTCGACACATTTGAAATCTTTATGCTTCCTTACAGTGTCCGTATAGCCGACTGACGGACATTCCGAGTAACGCCAATTTCAGCTTGAAATTCCCCACGTTCAAAGCAACAAAGTGGAGAGTGCTGGATAACCATGGCATCGATAAGTACATATCTACCAAAGACATTAGGTATGAACTTATTATATTCAATATTACTGTTTAATATATAACAATATTCACTTACCCAGATAGAACAGAAGATCATGATGACGTCGAAATAATAACTCACTTTTCGATCATGATCCGATCACTTTCTCGTCATTTTGACGTTTACTGTGATTTTCTGTTCTAATTGGGTATGCATCATTAAAAGACTTAATCAAAATATACATTTTAAGAGGACGATATTAATTGAAGGACTCGGTGCAGGACCGGTCAGCTTCATTAAAAAAAAAAAAAAATATATATATTTTTCATTAAAACCATCAGTTCCAGAAATGTATTAACAGAACGTTTTTTTTTACATATTCAGACGATTTACGTAAAAAAGTCTACATAGCTTATTTTGCGAAATCATTTTTTGTCGATACTGCAGAATTTCGATGAATGGACCGGTTTTCGCACCGAGCCTTTCAATTTATACTTTGACCGCTTTTCCTCACATACACATTCCTCCCTTCCCCTTTTTCAGCAATATGTTTTGCGAACTATCTCCAAATTTGGGACAGTACGGCTTGTACGAATTGGCGATACAAGATGGAAATTGTAACTTCAGAACTTTGAAGGATCCGACGTATCCTTACACAGGTATGTTCGACACTTTCGAAAGTTTTGCGAATAATGATTGGCAATATCATGTATGGTCGATGCGTTTAATGAAACAATCGATCGTAGCACATCAATGAAACATCTTCTACCTTGATCTCGTCGATTCTTCATTTGTAATTATAGCATTGAAACTCACGAGATTAGTATATAGAAGGAAAAATGTTAGATTGGTGTAAATAACAACTCAGGAACAAATTATTATTTACAAATAATACTTGTTTGATCCAAGCGAAGTATTTCCGAGGTAAATTATCGCATTAAAATATTTACCCGATCTAAGAAATATCTACATAATCCAAATAAAAATTGGTTAAAGTATATCATTTAATGACCTAACGGTGATAAATTGTATCCAATGCAAGCGACATAATCACTGTTTATCCGTGGAACGTGATGTACGATATGATAACGCGATTAGAGGAACGCGATGTTATCAGTAATATTCGAAAGAAGATAATCGCAGATCGGCCAGAACAAATTGCGATTTTGCGTTTTATGAAGATTAAATTCTCGTCGTGCGTTAATTCTTCGGTAAACAAGAACGAGAGAAAATTGCCCTTTCGATTCTTCAACTTTCGAAATTCGCGAATAAGCGAGAAGGAAAGAATCAGTTACGAAGATCTATGCCATCTGCACTTGTTGACGATTCCCGATAAAATAAGCCGAGATGCATTGTTCTAATGAATGAGGCCAGCCAATGTTTTACAGAGCTCATTGTTATTCTGGGGGTAATCGTGTTGATCTTATTCGGCATATCCGCCGGAAGATTTCTGTGGCGCAGAAGACGATACGGAAAAGACGGGAAGGAAGAAGCGAGTAACGAGGGAGCAACGAAACGTCGCGTGAAAGCTATCGACGCTTTCAGAGGGTATGCGTATTAGAGAAAGCAATCACATTCCACTGCGAGGAAAGCTGTGTCAGAAAATCGACATGTCAACTGCGAATTCTCCCACAACCGATTATCTGTTTCGTGCGATACAGGGCCAGTACTCTTTTTATGATTTTCGTCAACGATAACTCCGGTAGTTACGCCGTCTTGGGTCACACAACTTGGAACGGCATGCTGCCGGGTGATCTGGTGTTCCCTTGTTTCATGTGGATCATGGGAGTTTGCGTTCCCATAGCTTTGTCGGCGCAATTGAAGCGCGAGGCTTCGAAGCGCAGGATCGCATACGGCGTCTTGAAGGTAAAACGCGTCGTTAACTGCGATAATCGATCGTATCACGTCGATGAAACATCCTCTACAAGCACTTTAATCTCCGGTAGCGTGTGCAAACAAACGACAGTAATTTTACATTCCGCGTAATGATACACGTTAGAAAAAAAATAATAGTTTGTTGAAAACGAGTGCCCGGAAGATCCCCGTAATCGACAAAGTCTAAGCGTGTGATCACTCAACCGCAAGATTAAAATTTTGGCGGAAGTTCTCAGCGTTCTATTAAACCCAACAAGCGTCGGAATATTTGGGCAGTCAAGATTAACATTAATTGTACAAAAATAACAAATCCGTAATATATCCTTCTATACTCTAAAGATAAATGTGTATCGCGCGATGTAACTATTAATGAGTTATGAGAAGAGTACACGCAACTTTGGTCGTTCAATAAAAAAAGCTTAAGCGGCGCGAGAAACGACGTTGATTATGCAACATTCTTTCGTAGAGGAGCGTTCTTCTATTTCTGATCGGCGTCTCGCTGAACACGCTGGGCAGTATTCCGCAATTGGAAAGAATACGCGTGTCCGGAGTTCTTCAGCGATTCGGGGTCACTTATTTGGTCGTCAGCATGATGTACCTTTGTTGCACACTCTCGTTTCAGGTACGGGAACGTCTGACACTCTCTGTCTCGCGTATTGACGTGACTTGTCACTTATAAAATTCCCTTGTAACTTGCAGAATTCATCGAATGGCCGGATAACGCGCGTCCTGCAGGACGTAGCGGTCCTCCTGCCGCACTGGTCCTTCATGCTAATCCTCGTGTTGATTCATTGCGGCATAACGTTCGGCCTTACGATTCCCGGCTGCCCCATGTACGTACCCGGGAAAGAAAAGATCATGTGTGAAATCTGACCATATGTAATCCATATATGTCCACAACGAAAAAATACCGTTGTTTACAAATTACATGCAAATACAATCGAAATAATTCGTACTTCTGACAGCGCATCACATCGACATTTAATTAAATGACATAACATTATTTTACTTTTTTGTACAGACATATATGGGCAAATTTCATGAATGATTTTATATAATTATATATAATCATATACGTAATCATTTTTTCTCGGGTAGCTCGATCTCGATCTGTACAGTTCGAACGTTTATTGACAAAGTTGTTTTTTGAGTAAATAACGAATGAATTTACTGCAGCGGTTACCTCGGACCGGGCGGCATGCACGAGGACGGTAAATATTTTAACTGTACCGGAGGCGCGGCTGGATACATCGATCGCACCGTGTTGACTGTGAAGCATATGTACCAGTATTCGGCTATCAGTATCGTTTATAGATCCGGTCCTTTCGATCCTGAGGGAATTTTAGGTAACTTATATCGCTTCTTCCATGCACAGTGCGAGGCGAAATAGTTCCACTGCAGTGACGTTCAAAGCTTGGCCGATGGCCCAATGAGAGAACGAATCAGTCGAAGAAATATGCATAATTAAATGAAAAAATTTGGTGTTAAAAACGATCTCCACTGAGATTTTGCGTTTTTCGTTGCAGGATACTTCACGACGATATTTCAGGTGTTTCTCGGCGTACACGCCGGCGTGATCCTGATGATATATAAGGACTGGAAAGAACGTGTCGTTCGATGGCTTCTCTGGGCGGCGTTGTATGGCGTTTTGGGATGCGCCTTTCACTTCAGCAACGTTATACCGGTCAACAAGAACCTGTGGTAAAGTATCGGCGAGATCGGCTTCGTTAGCCATTCTCGGTATTGGATGCTTCGTTTCAATTCGATTTTATTTAAACGGCAATAGTTAGGATTAAACATTGAGTCGATGATATGTTTACATTCACAAGGAATGCTCAAGTGCAAATGAATGAATACGCAGGTCTCTCTCCTTCGTGCTGGTGTCGACTTCCTTCGCCTTGGCCTTCCTTTCCGCGTGTTACCTGCTGATCGACGTCACCCGAGTTTGGCGAGGCGGTCCTTTCAGAATAGCCGGTAAGTGGCGGGCGGCGTGCTTTGTCCTGAAAATCTCCGGCTAATTGAATCAAAGTTCTCGAAAGAAAACACTTAAACGCAATTGACGCGCGGATAAAGAGATATCTCGAGTGAAACGTAGAACTAAGTTACAGGCTTGAAGACACATTAGATGATTTATTCTATCGTATTGTGCAAATCTTAGGTATGAACGCATTGGCGTTATACGTGGGTCACATGATGTGTTACCAAATCTTCCCGTTCCACTGGTGGATCGGCGAGATGGACAGCCGTGCTTTGGTCTTCGTCAAATCGGTCTGGGTTGTGGCGCTCTGGGCGATCATCGCATATATTATGCATCACAAACGCATATACATCACGCTGTGAGCTACTACGTCTATTCGTGTCACCGTGTAAATGAATATCTCAACCTAAGGATAAATATTAACACACGCAAACGCTGTACGTCATGCGATATCCGTACGTTACGCGAGAGTCCGACAAAAAAAACACGATTTTAATTGCGCTAGTAATTAATTAATTGCACTTACACCACGAGAATTTGCCGTATTATCGATTCAAGCGAGAGAGCATTCGCCCCCTCGGCAATCAAATGATACGCACAGTTTCAACTTTACAAATAATTTATTGTACAACTTGGATATATGCGTGTGTATAAGTAGTACAGTGACAAGTTCAGGTAATAAGGATTACCTTCGATTTACGTGTAGGTATTCTCGAGTAATGATTAATATTCTTAAAAAGAGCGTTATAATTTTCAATGACGAGAACCATCGATCTTAAATAAAACAAACCACATGTTTCCGCTGAAAATATCGCGACACGGTGCAGCCGACCTCCTGAATTCGATCCTCGGATCCTGCCAGACAACGATCGTAAAACAAAGGATGCTTTCTCGTTCGGTTCGTATTGCATATGAAATTTCAGATTGTCTCGGCGAATTTCCTCGAGAAACAGATTCGCACAAGCGTTTCTAACAATTTAAAGAAAAAAAAAAATACGTTTAGCAAAATGTTTCACTCCAGAGATAAACCGTGAGAGTCAGTTTCTTCTCATCTATACAGGTCACTAAGCGAACAATTCGGAACATGTTTGGCAATTGTGTCTGACGGCAGTGTGAAACGTTTACATCTTTAGCGATTCGCAAATTTCTTCTCTGAAGGAATCCTCGGCTGAATTATTTTGTCAGTTTCTTTACTTTCGTTTCGCTGGAGGATCGGCGCGGGGCGCAACACGGACGAGCACTGGTGAATTATCGCGTAAACAAAAAATAGAAAAAAAAGCACACTAACAATTTGACTTTCCCTAAAGAGGAGCCCATCCGTACTCCCTCAATAATCGGTTGCGTCGGGACCTGAAAGAACGGAGAATTCGGCTGTTTAGGAACGATTTTCGCTGCGAATACAGAGTTAAGAGAGATATAACCATAGAGATATCGTGTACTGCATATTCATGTACAAGTGTTGTTGTCGAAAGTTCGATCCGTGCGTACATCGTACACACGTGCGTGTCTCGATCGTGCGATCGATCTTCGTTGCTACTCTAACGTGACGTTTCGTCGTTTCCCGTTGCTTTCGCGCGTTTAATTAGCCGAGTGAAACCCCGAGAAAACACCACCGTGTCGTACGCCCCCCGACACGCCGTTTTCTCCCGGCACTCAAATAACCATACGAATTCACTTGTGTTTCTTAATCAGTATTAGTCACAACATGCACAAAACAACCAAGCGTCGGTGTGTGACAATCAAGATTACCGCGAGATGCGAGAAGAGAAGAGGGAAAGAGCCCGGGAAAAAATCTTACATATATCATTATATATTAATTATTGTACATGTATAATTATGTATATAATTGATTAAAATATATAATTATACATGATGATGTAGTAATATATGATTATATATAAACAAATATATATTCTATATATATATTATACATCACATAATATAAAGTATGATTTATATATATAAATATATATATGTGTATATAATATTATATATATATATATATATAATAAATTCCTCATTTATAATTATATATATATTGAATATATAAAATGATAAATGAGAAGTTTTTTCCCAGTAGTTTTTCCCCAGGAGGAGAGAAAATGAGACAGAACGCGGAAAAAAGAAAGAAAGAAAAGAAGTAGAAAGAAAGAAAGAAAATGACGAAAGGGAATTATGCATTTACGATCGAGCTAGCTAGGTGTACGTAGAGAAAGAAAAAGAAAGAAAGAGAGAGAGAGAGAGAGAGAGAGAGACAGGAGAGAAGCGAAGAAGAGGAAAGAATGGGGAAGAGAAGGTGGAGAAGAAATCAAGAACGATACACGAAGATATATATTGGAAGCGATATGTACCGATAGAAAAAAAATCACGTAGCCCGGTAGCACCTCGGGCTCTCGCACTCAGCCCGGTTGTCTTGCGAATCGAGAGAAAAGGTACGTCCGTGGATCGTGGGGAGCGGTCTCGTCGCTCGCGGCCGAACACACGGGGTCTCAATCTGCCCTGGCACGTCAGCAATAGTTGGCGTTAGCGTTCGCGCAGGATGTCGGCGGCGGGATAGGGGGAGGGACCGTCGGCGGCGGGTCGTTAATCTTGCCGGGCGTCAAGGCGCGCGGCACGCTCTTCGTGCTCTTGATCCTCGGACAGAGCACGTTCACCTTGTAGGCCCACGAGGGCAACCTGCTGTCGAGGATCTTGTGGGCGAGCGACGGCACGACGTCGTGCAGGCCGGCCGGCCTCTTCCAGGTGCGGAAGTACGGGTCGCCGCCCGTCGCCTGTTCCGCGCTCTGCTCGCTCTTCGAGCTCAAGCTCGCGTCGTGGAAGCGCCGCCAGGATTGCTCGTGAACGGGCGAATACTCGGGCGAGGTCAGCCCGCTGGAATAGTTGGAGCAGTAGCTGTCGTCGTAGTTGAAGACGGTGTTGAGCGGCAGGCTGAGGTACTCTTTCCTGGAGGAAGGAGGTCCGCGGTCGGGGGATTCTCGGGCAGAGTCGTCGTTCAGCAACCGGAAGAGCCGCGAGTGCGTCTGCGTGCGTTGGTACTTCTTCGAGTTCTTCGAGGACGCGCACTCCGAGTCCGTGTCGACTTCCGATATCATGCGGCTCAGATCGGAGGTCACGCCGCTGTCCTCGTCCTCTTCGTCGGTGTCCTCTTGGACGCTCGACAGCTGCTTCGCCTCGCTCGTCGTCTGATCGCGCGTTATCCCATCCCCGTCCACCAGCCGGACTTGCGTCGAGGAGTCAAGGTCTCGCGCAGGAGTCGATCCTGCGGTCTCCTCGCGGCTCCTCGACGGGTCCTTCCTCAGAGTGAAGTTCACCTGCGGTATGCTCGCTTCGTCTGCCGAGCTCGCGTGCCTCCTGATCGTGAAATCGACGCTGGTGTCGTTGCCGACGTGGAAGTCGACACTGACGTCGTCGTCGTTCACCCCGCCGTCTCCGGCTGAGCGTCCGCACTTCGCTCTCTCCGCCCGGATCTTGCTGTCGCCCACTGTCACGGTGGTGACGTCCTCGTTGTTCTCGGACACGAAGAACTTGAACCGCAGGGGCAAGCTGACGCTGACCATCGTGGCCTCGGAGTCGTCGGTCGCTTCGAAGGCAGGACCTTCGGAATCCTGCCGTTCCGCGTCGTCGTCGTTATCGATCGGCTCGTCAGGACTCGTGTTGCCGGTGGAAGAATCGATCGAGTCTCCGCTTCGTCCTCGCTCGTCCTCTCCTGCCGTCGAAGTAGTATCCCGCTGAAACGCGTCATCTGAGTACCGAGGACGATCTTTCCTGAAACGCGTCTCGTTTCCCGGATCGTCCGTCGGGAACTCGGGCCTCTCTTTCTCCGGCTTCTCCCGCGGATTCAGACCCGTCGAGTATGCCACGTAGGAGTCGCTGTCGGACGACGAGTTGTTGGAGGACGTGGTGTCGTCGCTGGCGCCCTTGCGCCCCGGGGGCTGCTCGTCGTCGTCGTCGTCGCTGGAGTCGCTCGTGTCCACGTACGTGTAATTCGGCACGTTAATGTGCAGGCCGAAGGTCTTCTCCAACGTCGGCTCGTTCAGATCGCCTCGTTCCTCGCCGATTATGTTCATCGCCGTGACAATGCCGTTCCTGTCGACGTCGCCGGTCCCGTCGACGTCTCCTCCCCGATGATGCGCGCCGCTCGACTGAGCGTCCAAGTGATTAATTTCCTCGGGCAAGACGGCATCAGTCGGCAGGTGCTCCTGCGCGAAGGACGAGTCGGCCGCGTCGTGAGGACCGTTCTCGCAAAGCAGCCCGTCTCGGGCGTCGACGGCCGAAAGCTCGGGGCTTTCTCGGCCCGTCACTTTCACCCGTGCAAGATGGTTCGGATCGTAAAGCGGATAAGGGGCTTCGTACACGTTTCCGTCCGGATAGGGGGGGAAGGAATGTTTATTCGGCTCGCCGAACCGCACCGCGGGATAATAGCCCCACCAACCCTCGGGATGCCAGAAGGGAACGGGTGGAGGAGGGAGAAATACACCCTGCTGATTGCCCGGCAAGTTATTCTCTGTTCGGCGGGTGTAATCCGCTTGACGATTTTCTTGCGTGGCTACAACAAACAGCACAATGCATTCAGAAGAAAGTTAAATCCTTCACACCGAGGCGTGCGCGCTCTCCTCCGTTTCGCGAGGGAGATCGTCCTTCCTTCGTTCTCTTTTTTCCATCCTGCGTTGCGTGTGTCCGGACCCCCGAAAGTGTCTCTCGCCTACATCGATAATAATCGCGAGGAGCTTCACGGGGAGGCCTTTATCCCGCTCTCTCTCCTTTTGCGCGTTACAACGTGTACATGGTCTTTCTTTTTCTCCTTAAGTCGGTCGGCATAATGGCGCGAAATAATCGGTCAGCTAAGGGAATGAGAGAAACAACTGATCCTGTGTTCAAAGGAAAATCACGTCCGGAGGTCTCGGGAGCAACTATGATTGTCTAAAGTCGAGATCGCGTGGCGAGCAATTCCGTCTAAGTGAGTCTGCTAACGCGTCGAAAGAAGTACATGCTTGACAGATGTACAGAAGAATACATTCCGACGTGTCTATACAACTCGTAACGATTCTTAATAAGAGTCCCATAACTAAGTACATGCAAGTAACCACTTTGCATTATTGAGTGAATACCAGCGGTAATCAACACGAAATCATTAATATGACATGCAACATTCCCGTTAATCTCTGTAAATCACCTGAGCTGTGACAAATAGCTATGCATATACGTATGTACCCTGATGCATCACGGAAAAGAAAGAATGCACGGTGAGCCAAATATTACGGCGTGATCTCGAAGAAAAAAAATATAAACTCGTTGCTGAACGTGATGTCTCACATCTTCGGGGTGTGTTTCTCTCTTCTCTTTCTCCCTCCGATCGTAGAAAACGCTAATTAGAAATGTTCGCCAAATGACCGACATTTTGTCGAATTCAGACACGTTTCGATCGATATGTGTATAAAGTAGCAGCGAAGAAAAGTTATTCCTGTGAACACAGGATTCGGGAATGTTCCAGCGATGCCACGTATGTTACTTCAATAAAATATTCATTAGAATATGAAGCGCTTATTATTATTACGGAACATTAATGTACAGAGGTAAATAAGCTTTCACGATTAATTTATGAACGAATAATGTGTGTGTCGTATAAAAAAAAAAAAAAGGTAAATTATTAATACGTACACATAGATAAAAGGCCGCGGGAAAGTGATGAAAAATTGTCGCCTCCGGAAACTAGAAACCGACGGACTTCTCTTTCGTACCGAAAGAAAGACAAAAATGAATGCAAGAGGTGTTCTCTGGAGACATTCGTGGCGCTCTCAAAAATGCTCGATCGCCAAGATACAGGGGAAAAAGTTACTTCTTATCTTTCATAAATATACTCACCGATACTCTCTGGCGCTGTCATCGCCTGTAATATCCTGAAGGATCGTGAAGGAATAGCACTACCCATGTACTTCTTCGGTTCTTGGACTTGTTGCTCGCTCGGCGGCAGATTCGCCTGTGTTTCTTCTGCGTGACAAGCAATTGCGTCCAACTTATTGAAACGTTCGTTACAATTACTTCAGGGTATCGATCGCGTAACTTTTTCTCTATACTGAAAAAAGGATTTACCAGGATTTGGTTAAATAGTTTCAACTAAACTGTTCGGTTACTGCAACAAAAAATCACTTGATATCACATATACTGTACTGTATATTATATATATATATAATACCGTATATTATATATAATACAAATTATTTAGCCAAGTATCAATAATTATTGCCAAATTTTTTTGACAGTATAAAATGGAAATGTTACATAATCGATACCCAGGACGTTTTGCGCGCGTTCACTTACCGAATGATTTTGAATTTCTATTTTGTCTCTTATTCGCAACGTTCTGTGCATTACGTGGCGCTGGAACAAACAAGAGAAGCGTGTCTATCGTCTTCTCTCTTGCCCTTTTATTCATTTGTCACGCAACCCTCGCCTTACCTGCGCAAGTAACCGAAGCGTCAGTCGAGTCCGTCATATTTTGTAAAAAGCGAAAGGCTCGTGAGGGTATCGCCGCACCGCGATATCTCGGGTCTTCCTCTTGGTGAAGATAAGTTTCGTGGTCAACTGTGCAAAGATGACAAGCATTCGTTAGCAAGTTGTTTCAGACTCGCAGAGAGATTCGTGTTCTCGGGACCGAGAACAAAATAACCGACCTTGCTCTTTAAACTTATTCATGAGCACCCTCTCGTCTTCGCTCAGCTCCATTCTGCGAATCTGATCTGCTCCCACGTCGTTGGGCGCATCCGTGTCCGTGATTTTCTGAAGGACGCGGAACGATCGCGACTGGACCGGGCCGGTTTCTTGCTGCTGAACAGGGGCTGAAGCTCTCTGTTGCACACTGCCGAATCACAGCCGATGGTAATTAACAGATTATTAAATATCACGTCCTACACTTTTCATCGCAAGTTCCTAGTAAACACCAACCGACAGTAACATTAATACATCAGTGTTATAATTGATCGCTAAACAATCGAAGTGCAAAATGCGTTGTGTATAACAGTCACATCGTTGAGTGGGAAATTATAATAATGTCAGTTGATGTTTTACTTGTTTATTTGATCATCTGCATTTTCAAAGCGGCCCGTTTGGCGGCACAAATTGAACTTACACCTTGGGACCTTTCCCAGTCGCGTTGCTTCCTCCGACATTCGCCTGCGATGTCTTCTTGTCGTTACCCTCCACCACGATGGGGATTATGTAGGTGCCAACCGTCTGTTCGGGCCGGGACAGAACCACAACGTGGGTCTGCTCCTGATCCTGTGGCCGATTTTCCGGGCTCTGCGGCTGTTGCATTTGACCCCATCGCTGCTGATGATGCAAGGTCGGCGGTTGCTTGAACTGATGATGGCCGGATTCGCGCTTCGCGTCGAACACCGATGGTCTGTCTTCGATCTGAGGAACGGGGCCGATAAAGCGCACGATCGACAAATTCTGTCGGAAGTCCGCGAGACTAAGGCCTGGTTGCGCCAAACTCCGATCAAACTGAACGACGATTAATGGATCTTACAGGGTCACAAATTCGACATGACGTGTGAGATATTACTTTCATGCGGTGATAACTGAAATAATAATTGATAGTATAAATCTTTGATAATATTTATATTATGCATAACCGCGCATAATTTTCAAGTTTTTCGCATTTCCACCGAGAGAAATAATAATTATTAGAATAGAGAAATACTATTGGTGCTTACAGAGAATTTTTGAATTTTTCCATATAATTTCCTCCGATATATGTTTTGTCGTCGATTTGTGAACACCCAATTTTATTGATAAAGCATATTTATATTATGATATTATTAAATAATATAATACAGATCCAATTGTCGCAATTAGACGTTGATCTTCACCCAGCATTTCAAGTTTTTGATCATTGATTTCATTTCTTGCTCCATCTCTGATTGCGAATTTTTCTATTTCAATATTACTTTCATATTCAATAAATCCAAAAAAACTCTTGAAAATAAGTAGACATAGCCCAATTCTGAAGAAAACTCGCGCGTGGGAGGATTAATCGGAATTTCGCGCAACCTGAGGAACTCGCAGGGAAGCTGATGACTCACCCGAATAGGTACGACACGCTCGTGCTGAGTCTGCGGATTGTTTCGCTGAGGCGCATCGGTGTTCTGCCTCGTCGGCTGCCACGTCGTTTGGGCCTGCTGCTGAGAAGACTCGTGCTCCTTGTTCTGCCTCGGCTGCACCTGGACGTAGACCGGGGATGTCGCCGGGCACTCGGACGGGCCGGCTTTACTGACGCTCGCGCGTTTCGCCCACTCGGGCAGCTCCTCCTGAGGCTTGTTCTTATTTTGGAGCCAAGGCGTCGGGGCTTTGGCCAGAGTGACTTGCGTCGGAGTATTCGGACTCTCAGGGCTGCTCGGCGTAACCGGCGCGATCGCCTTCGTGTCGATCTTGACGACGTTCTTCGGCGCCTCCGCTGGTTTCTCCGCAACTGTCGGGGCAGTCGTGAGAGCGCTTCTTGCACGCGTGTCTACACCGGGGATTACCCGCGACGGAAATTGCGCGTTTAATCTGAGAAAGAGAAAGCGATTAATTACCGTTCGACGGCGTCCGGTTGACCGTTGCGGGCTGAGGTACCCTGTTGACCGGCGGAACGTTGGTGGGAAACACGGGTATCGCCACCTGCGGCTGCACGAAGGGATTCGGCGAGGTGGTGGCCGGCTTCGACTCGAGGGCGGATTTCGGCGGTCCCTCGATGCCTTCGTCATTGGCATTTTTCGCCACTCTCCTCGCCATTCGCGGGCTGCGGATCTGCGACAGGTCGAGCTTGCCGCCCATACCTGGCGTGTAGGTAAAAGGTTTCTTATCCTTCGTCAGCATCGCGTTCTGAATGGCCGCCGGCGGCTCGTAGGCATCGTTACTGCCCATCTGTGGCCTCTTCGTCGCTGCGTTCTAAATGTCGGGGGGAGGGGGGGAGAAAAGAAGAGAAAGATACAGCCTCGGCCTGCGGCGACAAATCGCGGCAACAACGGCGCGGACGCCGGTCTAAATTTAAATGCCGACTTTTCGCGAATTTCTCCATGCGACCGGACGTTGGATGAGAACAATTTATTGTTAATCGGTGAGTTTGCACCGCGGCTGACTTCATCTCACCTCGGCAGTGTTAATCCTCATAGCTGGCACTTGACCAGACATCGGAGGCGGAGGAGGCGGCGGTGGAGGTGGTCCTGAAATCACGCACAAATTATAGACGATGCGCGAAGGTGTAACTCGAAGAGTTGTAACCGGACGGGGACTTGGTGTAACTTCGGCACTAATCCGGAGAAGAGGTGCGTACATACCTGCAACCATGACGTCCGGATTCCTGAAATCAAAAACGATGATTTATATAATCAGACCGAATTATGATTGTTCGGTTTCTTAATTAAACGTACAGTGGGTATCTCTTGACAGCGAAGCTGTCGCTTTCTCGCGTGGGATGATAGAAATATAAATTTGACATCATTAAGGCGTGACTTATTGCAAAAATCTGCTGGTTTAATAGTGTATTCGGGTAGAATAAAATCTGGATTTTACGTGAAACGTTGGGAAAATACATGTGGAAAGTAAATATACGAATTCTACTCCGTTTGCATGAGACATTGCTATCTTATCTGCGGAATGAAATTACCTCAAATATGAGTCATCTTGCACGTATTCGCGCTTTGTACACGTACGTTACGTTCACATAACATATATATATATATATATATATATAGTTTTATAGTTTTTACAGTATTTATAGTTTTTTAAATATAATAATAACAATGTTATATTTATAAAAATATATGCTCTTTTTAATGATTTATATTAATCTATAAATACGATTAACAACACGTTTACGATCTCGATAAAAATACTTTCTCGAAAATTTACGGCGGCGTCGATTTGACTTACGAGACGCAGAGGTCGATTGTTCGTGGGCCAGTGATAAGATTAACGGTTTTCCTTTTTCCAGCGACGCGTGAAACCATAACGATGATGTAACTAAGTCGGGAACGCGTGAGATATCTGGTTTATCGGCGACGCTTTTCTCGTCGACTGCGGGCGCGTGTGCGTGCGGTGCGCGTGCCGCACACGTGTAATCGGGCGAAGGTTGATTAGGACGCCTTGTAGGATATAACACGGTCAGACGTGTTCCCATAAAAGTACTAAGCGACCGCTGGGATTACCAACGTGATCGGAAGATACCCCGTTCAAATATAAGTCGTCATTCACCGTCGTCGAAAATGCCGGATGACAAGTCACGAGTAGAGAATTTTCAAATTTCGCGTGGGCGAGTTAAACAAACGGAGGAACTTTCCGTTAGTCCCGCCTGTATTTACTCAAACTTGAAATTACGTATAGTTTTCGATCTATTTCCGATCTGCGAACTCGGCTCAAGGTGATTGACCCTCGCAAAAAGAGCGCCGTCGCGAGATGCTAATTGTCAGGGACGTGACCGATATTTATTTACATGTTATCCACCGCGCTGAAAATACACGTGGTCTGTTCTTTTCAGCTGAACTAGCTGCGGAAATCTCAAGAAATTGGTCCGTGAGAATTTGAAACGTTTCAGTGTATATACGGGAAAAAAATAGTCTTAAATCGAGAATAGATATTCTCATATATAAGCAAGAGCATCGTAATCTTCTTAGAAGAGCTTCGGTCTTGATTTGATTGAATTTCTATTGATGCAAGTGTTATTTGAATTCAATTCAAAGGACGAAAAATCTCCTAAGAAGATTATGATATTCTGCCTTATCTCTGAGAATATCTATTCTTGACTCGTTCTTTTTCGTGTATATACATTTCTTGAACTAGCGCAGAATAAATTTCTACATGTTGATATGCAAATGACCGGGGGGGGGGGGGAAACNCGCGATGATCTCATTGACATCGCGAAATAATAGATATACGCGCGAGCGATTCATTCGAGGATGTTCTGGCAACGAGCGCGGAAACCTAAAATTATAATAAAAGAGCTTCAAGAGGGAGAGAAAGAGAGAGCGAAAGAGAGAGAAAGAGACAGTCTCCTCGCTCCCTTTCCTCTTTTCCGGCATCACGTCGGCGTTTTTATCTTGGCACGGCTGTTACGGCACGTGGTGCTCGGTTTCACAGGTGCTCCGCTGAAAGAGACGGCGCGTTCTCGTGGAAAAGTTGCCAGCTTCTTCAACGTTATTTTCGCATAAGAACGAGCCACGGTTTATCGGCCCGCCGCTGACTAATAATCGGCTATGAATAAGCGCGGCCGTTTCCAGTCTTTTATTTTAGCCACCGCGAGAGACCTCGGTGGTCCACCGGATGAATTCTTCAAGGCTCTCCCGAAGACACCGAGACGTTTTTCCAGGATCCTCGCGAGAAATCTCGCGATCACGGCAAATCGACCGCGGCCACGCGCGCGCGCGCGATGCTCGGAACCCAGCCAACGGACCGCAGCGTAGAAGTGTATTTAGGTAGATACTGTGGAGCGAGAGTAATTTTAGCGCGGGCTGACCTGCGCATTGCTGCCTCCTATAAAATGCTTCCAATTATTTTATTTTTAGGATTTCCAACGCCGCGGTAAATGCGCGATAAGCTTAGATCACTTCACGTTCCGCGGAGTATCGAGAGGCCGTCGTCGGTGAGCACGGACTCTCGAAATAATTCTTCGCGAAAAAGAGACACAGAGAGAGAGAGAGAGAGGCGCGGTGCGTTCACTGGGATTGAAATACTATTATTAGTGATCTAAGAACGTTGCGCCTACGCGCCGTCTTTCTACTCGGGAAGGAGATTCTATCGCTGGACGGTGCCGAGCACTTCCTCCTCGATCGCGAAAATGCGCCGAACCGGCGAAAAAAAGGAGCGCGCGATTGAAACCGAAATATGTGTCGAGGAGGCCTCTTCCTTGAGGCGGCGGCAAGGCCGATCCGGCCGCTCGAAAAACAAGTTCCACCTCTCTCGCTCCGTCCAGCTTGGCTATCGTCGGCTTTTGCAATTTCGACCGCTTACGGGCCGAGCTTGAGGCCGATTTAGCCGAAGCCCACGAGTTTTCCTAACGAGCTTCCGCTACGTCGAAGGGTGCGACCGAGAACTCGCGGACGCTGGCGGAACGGTAGATCTTACCCGACGAACGTCGAGGAGCTCATGGTCCAGAATAGAAATTCGGCGATTCGCTGGAGTGTCCAAGTCCACGAGCGCCCAGGCGTACGCGCTTCTAGCCGCACAGCAGGTAGAAACCGGTTCTCTCTCTCTCTGTCCGCGAGCGCCGTTCCTCGGCTTCCGAAAGTCCCAAGTTGGAGGCGGATATTAAGAGAAGAGAGACGAGCAGCACCGATGCCGACACTAGCGCGTGCCCGCCGCTACTACAGCGGCCGTCGTCGTTCGATTCGCTCGCCGTTCGGACCTCGTGACTTCGCGAACCAGCACCACCGTAGCGGCTCTCTCTCTCTCTCTCTCTTTCTCTTTCTCTCTTACATCCTTACCGATTCGTTCGCCACGACGCGCCGCCGGTCGCTGGTCACCGGCCGTCGTCGTCGTCGTCGCGCGCCGAAATAGCTCGCGCTTATTTCGGGACTATGTACGAGAGATATTTCTTATTACTCGCGCGATATCAGCGCGGTATTGCTGGACGTTTAATCCGCTCGCTCGCTCGTCGATCGGTAGGATCGTCGGTCGGCCTGCGCTTGCCTTCCGTTAAAAATAATCCTCGCGAGGACGGAGAAAAATCCGCGATCCGAGGCCGCAGCAGCGATCGATTCTCCAGCTTCTCCGGTCCCCCTCCTCCCCCCTTGATTTCTTCCATTCTCGAAGCCGTCGACTGATTCTCGCCGTGCTTCGCGATGCAGGAGACCGGCAAATTGGCTGAAGGGGTAAGTTGGCTAATCGATCATTTCCGCCGATTTCTAACAGATTGCAGAATCGAACGGGCGGAGATTTCAAACGTGTCGAAGATGGTTGTGAAATTCCTACCTGTTCGATTCTGTAAACTGTTCGAAAATAACAGAATCCTGTTGAAAATCTCCAGATGGATTCTCACGGAATCCACGGGGAAATTTATGTAAATTCATGTAGGATAATAAAAATCCATATAGAAATTCACATGGTGTGTGGAAATTCATATAGGAATCCGTATATTCTGATGGATCATAGATTCCTACCTTGGACCTGAATTTTTCGCGCAAATCCTTAGAAGGCGGGAGACTTTGTGTGAATTTCCACCTGGTTTCTTTCAACAGGGAAATAATCAATCAGCCAATTTGCTTCATTAGACAAACTATCCCCCTTATTTTCGTTAAGTTACAAGTAATTTAAATTGCAAGCGCGCTTAACCGTAGAAAGCCCACGCAATCGACTGTCTATTAACCCCGATGGATCAAGATCCTTTCTAAGATTATTTTTTCTGACATCGGAAACGACTCATTTGGTTAAGTACTATTTTCATTCAACTTTTTAGCTACGCATATATGTATGTACGCCCTTACAGTTAGCGAGAGTTTAACACGATCGCGGGGTCCATCGGGCCCCGTTGGACTTTCTAGGGTTAAACGAAGGTATTTCGAATGTCGGATACTTCAAGCCAGGAGGAAGAACTTTCAAGCCACATGACGTTATTCTTTATTTCGAGATGTCAAGAAGAAGAGATGGGGAGGGAGATATCCTGCTGAACGACTTCCCAAGGCTCGCGTCGGACCACGTACTGAGGATCAAGGGTTGCGACCGGAAAAGTCGGGACGACGCGACTCAGGATCGAGATCGCTCGATTGATCGTATCCTAAAAGCCGATTCGTGAGGCTGAATCTTCGATACCGCAGTCAACTCTGATCGCCATCAGTCACGGCATCCCGCGACATAACGTCTCGGCGAACTGCGACACAACGAAGCGAAGGACCTCGCCTTGTCACAACGATATAATCCGTCCAATGTACCGCGAATTTCCAATTACGCGCGCCCTCCGGCGCGTCCCTATAAACTAAATAACAAAGGTACGCGAGGCTAACGTTCTCAATTAACGCAGGTATGCAGACGTGCTCCGTCTCAGGCTGACAACTGTCGACGAGCAAGAGTAACCGGATATCTACGTGACGACGAGGAAGACGAAAGGTCCGTTCCTTTCCGCTCAACTGGCTGCACCGACTTGTACCGGTTCTCTTCTCTCCTCCACCGAGTCTCAACCGAGTGAATCTGTCTCTATTTAAGTTTCACGACTGTGCACCAGTTCAGAGGAAAAGAACAGACGCGAAGGCCGACGAAGACGTCGCGACCACGAGGGTCGGGGGTTAGCGCTCGTTCTGGTGGCTGGAGGCCACGACCTCGTCGAAGGCCGCCTCGTGTTCCGAAGTGGTGAACATATACGCCGGTAGAGTCATGCCCAGGACCTTGTCGTACCTGGCGCGCGTCTCCGACGTGTAATCGTACGGCTCGGCCTCCTTCGTCTCCTCGGCCGTCTGCGACGCTTCGTCGGGATATTCGTTGTCCGGCTTCTCCAGCCTGACGTAAGAGTTCTTGCTGGCGGACACGATCGGCTCCTGCAGCGGAGGATCCGCCGTTTTCGGCTTGGTCGAGCTCGCGAGCGACGACGCCGGGTCCATCTGGAACTCCTTGATCTCGTGGAACGCGAGCTGCTCCTTGTCGGGCTCCTGCCCGGTCACGAACACGCACTCCTCCTTCTGGAAGCCCTCGTCGTCGATGCACTGGTAGCAGGTCATCTTGTCGCGCATCACCTTCTTGCATTTCGAGCGGTCCTTCTTCCGGAAATTCTGCAGGAATCCTTCGATCTCCGCCTTCTTCTTCGCGGTGTGCAGGTACGCCGCGTCCACCGCCTCGCGTCCCTTCGAGTCCTCGGACTTCGCTTCGTCCTTCGTCGAGGCTTCGTAGCTCAGCCCCGGCGCGTACGGCTCGTAGGATCCTTTCGGGCTCTCCGAGCCGTCCGGTCGCTCCTCTTCGTGCTCCGATTCCTGTTTCTGCGAAGACTCCTCGCTCTCCCGCGGACTGCCGAACGAGCTCGACTGGCTGTAAGAGAAGAGCTTATCGCTGGGCCGGTATGAGTACGAGCACTGCTCGAAATCGTTGCCGGACTTCGGATCCTTGCAGACCGTGCATGTCATCGAGTCCTTCTGCACCTCCCTGCAGTGATTCGAGTCGATATTCTCGGCGTGACGTTCTGAGGCGGACTTCTCGCGATCCGACGTCGCCCCACCTTCGTAAGGTGCGGCGCTCGATCCTTCGGAGTAGCTGCTGTAGTAGGGTGAGCTGCTGTAAGGTGAGCTGCCTGATGAACCTTCGCTCTCGTCTTCGGCGGACTTCTCGTCTGAGTAAGATGTCGGCCCGCCTGCATGATCAGATGGATGGGTCTAAATTAGGGCTTGGTTAATCTTCGACAGGCTTGCGAATTTTCCGTACGAAAAGGATACTTCTCGTATAAATAAAGAAATCATGTTAGCTTGACACGACTCGGCATTAATGAAACTCCTCGAAATACGGATGAGACACTCCTTGAAGTGTAAATCGTGACATTTCCGCGCTCTGCCCGGTATTTGCGACGCTCTGCTCGAAATGAAATCGGTCCGATTCAAGGATTGGTAGGTACGGTCGAGACGACGCGAGCTTACCGAAATAAGTGTCCTCGTGCGTGGAATCCGAGTTCTTCGACTCGTACGACGCCTTGTCCGCGTCCTGAGAGGAGCTCTTGTCTGGGTAGCCGAAGCTGTTAGATCTGCTGTACTTGTACAGCTTGTCGCTGGGCTGGTAGCTGTAGGTGCATTTCTCGTAAGTGCCGCCTGTCTTCGAGTCCTTGCACACCGTGCAGCTCTTCGAGTCCTTCTGCACCTGCTTGCAACCCGTTGTCGGAGCCTCCTGCACCTCGTCCTGCTCTTTCGCCGTCTTTTCAGAACGTAGTTCGCTCGAGTGGGAATACTCACGAGGTTCGGCGGGATCCCGTCTCTCGGATACTCGGGTACCCGAGGAGTAGGAGCCTTTCTCGGCATTCCCCTCGTTCTTCTGCTCCTGAGGTTGCTTGCCGAAAGTGCTGGACTTCGTGTAGGAGTACGCCTTCTCGCGCGGATTCTTCACGTACGAGCACTGCTCGTACTTGCCGTTGGTCTTCGTGTCCTTGCACACCATGCACACCATGGAATCCTTCACGATTTTCTCGCATTTCTCGCCCTTGTTCTCGTACGCGATCGGTACGTTGTGCGTAGCGTCGGTGAAGTACTCGTCGGCGAACCGGTAGGGATTCCGCGGCCTGTCCTCCTTGATCGCGCTGGACCTGGGGCAAACGATCGAGAGGACACTCGTCAGCACAACGATGTTGCTTACACATTGCTAAAACCAACATGTGACGTTAAAAACGGCCCACTGAAATTTTCCGTTACTTTAACGGAGAATGTATTCATTTATATTTGCGTACATTTTCACACACTCCTCGTGTCAAAGTAACAGCAAATTTCAGTGGGCCGTTTTTAGCAGGAAATTTTTTACCGCATATATTAGAAATGTACAGAAACTCGTCGGATCGCTGAATAATAAATAAAGCTGTTTCAAGCGACCACCAGCTATCAGTTCGCCGAGCTGCCTCTACCTTCGATATCTGAAGTTAACGGGCGTAGACAGGAAACGTTCCATCTTCGTGCTAGCGGACGAGCTCTCCTCCGGTTCGCTCTTGTACAAGCAACGTTCGTATGAGGACTTGGTTTTGGGATCTTTGCACCTGTAACAGGTCGTGACTCCTTTCGGCGGTTCGCCCTGCGCTCCGACCGACTTCACTTTGATCTCTTGGCAGTGGGCGGTTCTAGAGTTGAGAGCGAGCTCCTTCAGGGAATCCTTGCCGAACGGAGATGTCGTTTTCTTGAAGCCTTTGTCTTCGTTCGGCTCCTTCTTGATGCCGCTAATCGGGAAACGCTCGGACGAGCTTCCGTGGCGGTCCTCGCTCGATACGTAAGAAGTATCATAGTAATGTGGCAATACCTCGGAAGAGGCGGTCTCGTAAGAGTCATATCGGTTGTTCCAAGGAGCTCGGGATACGTCCCGATACTGCAGCTGAGCCTTCAAACGCTCCAATTCGTAAAGTGCATCAGTCACGTGACAAGCGATTAGAGCCGACAACGCTAAATATACCTGCAATTATAATCTCAGATTAAAAAGAAGACATTTCTCTCCACTCACTGCTCTCGAAGTGTCTTGAAAACTCCAGTTCTATTCTCGTTTAACGGGCATTTAAGAAGAAATGATCGATGGAAGAAAGAAGGAAAAATATGCGGCCAAGATGTTCCTCATTTTTCCTCGCTCGATTTTGGCAGCTCAATTTTTGGTACAGATTAAAGTACTCATCAGGCTGATTATGTCGGAATATGTCTTAAGTTGTTTACCGTTCTAGAGAAAATGTGCTCCGAAAGTTTCAATCCCGGCGGATGAAACGATCTGACACGATCGAAATATTTGGAGCCCGTTTCCTCCGGAACGGTAAGTGGCTACACATTGAGACATATATATTTTACTTTAACCAATATATGAAAATCGAGCGGATGCAAATAAAGTGGGGGAACATCGCCTATGGCAGTTTGGCCGCATTCTTTCCGCTGCGAACAATTCAATCGAGTACAAACTGCCTGGTTACCGCTGTAGTATCGCGACGTCTCTCCTCCCCGCGTCACTGACCTTGTAACAAGCCATTTTCGAAGATCATCGATTGTTTTTTTCGCGTGGGGGGATCGCAGACGGAGCTCGCCGAAGTTCGTCCACTTCCGATTCCGACGGGAATACTCACGATTCGCATCACTTTCTAGCCGAGTGATCGCGCCTTCGTGTGAAATGGCTTTATATTGACTTGCCGGACGACAGATTATATTCCCCACCTTCGTGTAAAATCCACCTGGTGTAGAAAAGCCCGCGGGGAACGCTCTATTCCCCGGCGGGGCAGAAAAATCCGAAGGATCAGCGAGCGTGACGCGCTCCGATCGGAGCGATCGAGACAATCGATCGATTACCTAAACTACTTTTGCTTTTATTTACGCAACTCTCGGCGCTCGCGCTCGGCACGATGAAAACAAGTGAAAATAACACAAGTAACGAGTCCGATTATAAGACGAGGATTACGTCGGTGCGGAAAGAGAGGGAGGGAAACGATTTTTAACGTCGGTGACCACCTGGTCGCGCGATTTGCTTATGCACACGAAACGATTGCGAACGCGCGTTTTTTACCGACCCCACCGGTCTGGTAAAATAAATTATTTTTTCCCCGATCGAGCGGACCGAAATGTCTGGAAAAGTGTTGGCAAGAATGCGTCTCTCCGCACCGTGAAAACCTCAAATGTCGAATAAGTGATTATTCTTCCGAGGAGGAATCCATCAATCACAAGTGGCAATCGGTGTCTGTTAGTGCAGTAAATTGCCCATTGGATTTTTAAGCGGAGACGGAAAACACCGACGATGACATCGAGTCACCGAATAATCCAACGGATACGTCACTATCGTTTCTACCCTATTTACGCCCGAGGAGCAGAACTGTACGATGTGAAAGTATTCGAGGATCAATGACCGCGCGTGTCATTGTATTTTCGCTCCAACGCGCCGGTTTGTCGAAATGCACGCGCGGCTAACATTCTCGTAACGGGTTAGGATTTAATCATTCGACGGACGACGTTATCTCAACGTGACGTCTATCAACGTCTATTAAGTTCGAGATGTTCACGCGAACGAAACTCGATGTCGTGATGCGATCGATAATCTGAACTCTATTTTGCCTCCGTGCGCTGTTTTATTTGACCTTACAACGAAACCATACTGTCTGAACATGGCGCGGTAAAAAAATTTCCTGTTAAATTTCACACATTTCACGTGTGTCCCAAACGGTCCGCACAAATTTTCGTACTAACTTAACGCAAGGTGAATACGTTGAAAAGTAATACAGATATGTCAAAAAATAACGCAAAATTCATATCCATAATATGACACTGAGAGAAAAGTATAAAATGTGTTATTTCAATATGTACGCATGTTGAATGCCGACTCAACGCAAAATATCGAGATAACAGCAAGCACAATATGTTAAATTAACGCACAGGTGTGTAAAGAATTTCAACGCAAAAGCTTGAAGAAGGATCGATTTCAACACAGATAGAAAATTCGACGCCTTAAGTACTACTTCTTGACTCCCGTGAGAAAAGTTCTATCTGTCGAAAGTGCCACGTGTACCTTTGGGCGAGAGGGAAAGAGAGAGCGAGGGATCGTTGAACAGAGCGCGGCTTACTCTTTAAAGGGGAATTGTCGCGGATAAACCGATATGTGAGACACGCGCGGTGGCTGACTGCCGAGTTGCTTGCCGAAAAGCGCGTCGGTAGGCGCGGCCTTCAGTTGCAGCTTCGACGCGATCTTCCGCATGATTTTGTCGTTCTGCGCATCCTTCGTTGTCCTATTGCCGTTCTGCTTACCCTTCGGAGCGCGCTTGCGATAATAGATCACCTCGCCGGCTAAAGTGATCATCGCCAGGCCGAGTCCGAACAGAGTCGCGATGAATACACCTCCTGCGGAAGCGAACGATTGCAAAAGGACGATACACGTGACGGAAGCGTAAACTGACCTAGACTCTCCAACGTGATGCCCTCGTTGTCGTCGGAATTCGGGCATTGGGCTTTCAACGTTTGATTCCAGTACTTGGACGCCAGCGTCTCGAAATATCTGTCCTTCTGCAAATCGAGGATCCTGAAAAATCAATCCGAATTAAATCCAAAAACAACTTTTTTCTCCGTGTAAAAGTTTTTTTCCCCTTTTTTTCTTTCGCGTATACAGAATAAAAGTCTGAAATATTCCTAAAACGACGAAATGATCATCGTCGTTTGTGATCATCGGAAATAATGACTCGGAAGCGCGTGGGGGAAAAGAAAAGCGGTAGAAAAAGCGATCCGAGACTTTCTGCTGATTTCCTCTTGCAAGTGACTGCCTTGCTGCACGGCGATGGCGTACGGCTGCTCGGCGAATATCTCGCCTACTTCCGTGAGATTGCAGTTCTTCGTTACCGCATACTTGATCTCGGACGAGTCATGAATGAACGCGAACTCGGCGTTTTCGCTTTCTATCACCTGAAAATTATCGGCGAATTAAGAAGGAGAATCGGGCCTCTCGTTTTTCTCCCCTTTCTTCTACCTTCCTGAAGCCTTCCTCGGTGTCCCTCACAGGACCAACTTGCGTGATGGCCTGCAGAATGTGACCGTACTGTTCCTTTATCGGGTAATCCCAGACGCGATACTCCACCTGATCGCTGGTACTGTTCAGCGTGATCTCCTTCCACACCCTGTGCAAACGATTAATGTCAAGGCTCGGCGAACCGCGAACGATTGCGCCACGTACGTGTAAAGTTTATCCTCGGCGTTCTTCATGTTTATGAAATACTGGTGAGCGCTGGAATTCGCCAGGACGGTGTAATTTATTCGCGATTGCCTCGCCAGCTGCTCCAACGATTGCACGGGCGACTGTGCAACAAGACACGTATTAACACGCTTTGGTTAACGTTAACATGCCCGGCGATGCGATCAAAAATGACAAAGCAGTTCCGGATTGACGAGTGATAGGAGCAGCGTATACCTGCATTCTTTCCACGGTGAGGAAGGCGGCCAAATTGGCGGTAAAAGTCGCGAGCATCAGCACGACGAACAGCCAATATGCTGCGACCAGAGTCCTGCTCGACAACGCCTTCGGGGCTTCGCCGCCGCCCTGTGGTGTGAAGGACGTCAGTGCGAACCAGAAGCTTTCCTTCAACGTGAATTCCCTGTCAAGTAGAAAACCCGCCGGTTAGGCGTGATCGATACGAAAGAGAGAGCCTCCGTTAAAAATAGGAGCTTTGCAAGCTCCGTTAAAAACAAAGTGACCGACGCTTTTCGTGTTGAGTTCAGAATTCAATATAGGAAGAAGATGTTAGAAATAAGCTATAATTTAAGATACGATAAAAGGAATAGCGAATAAGATATAAGAAAAACGGGATTACTACTTTTGTTTTTTAACGAATTTCGTTCCTTATTCCTTCCATTGAGTCTTAATTGAATCCTTACCGACAAGGATACGGGTAGAGTTGCTTGTTGTTTCTCGCGCTGTACGGCGAATATTTGTCGAGTAACCAGATCATAATACCAGTTAGAGTCAGAGCGCCCACAATACTGAGCCAGACCTCGAGTCTCAGCACCGTCATGAACTTGAAAAGGGACGTTTTACGGACCGGCTTCCTCATTACTTGGAAATCAATAATTAATATAAATCATTCAGCGTCCGATCGTGTTTACATACGATCGATTAAAGCCCGCGAATCGTGTCATAAGGAAAAACGGGAAAAGGTGATGGATGAGAAGACTGTGATGGAGAGAAGATTAGAAAAGAGAGAGGAAGAGTGCGTAATATACATTGTTGTCGAAATAAGATTGATTTGCGGATGAATTACCTATTAGTATACCGGACTGTTCGAAATACGGTGCGACAAAGTCGATGACTTCCTCCCGCTCCGACGTCATCGTTAACGCCGCTATGGCGATGTCGGTTTCCTGCAAAGATATCGGTAAGTGTACTAATTGTCGAATACTAATCGAGATATTTGCAAAACTTCCTCGGACGAGAATGTTGCGGTAATAATAAAAAATGGATTACCCTGTTAGTGAAAATAAATAAATAAATTGATAATTAAACAAATAATTAACTATCCGCAGGAAAATGCAACCTACTCCCCGAGCCAGATCGCCTATCAAGCCGTTCCATTCGCCATTGGGCAATTTTCTACCGAATTCTAGATCCTCGGGGATAACGAGATCGTAATCGAACTGCATCACTTCGGACAGTTTTTGTATGAAGTCGATGCAGTAACCTTCCCAGATCTCCTTTCCCTCCTCGTTGTGCATTTCTTGGCCCGTTGGGTCTTTCTTAATGACTGACCAAGGGACCGCCTGTTTCAAATTAAGAATAAAGATCTTAACGTTTATGGATTTCACGCTATTAAACATTAACGAAACGCTAGTAAATGTCACCTGTTTAAAGTATTAACTTTCAAATGGAATCACTTTATATAAGTTAATGATATTAACTGATATATTGATTAAATAAGAATTCGCGCGTAAGAGTAATTAAATGCGCTGATCTTAACTCGAATGGAATCAACGTTAGCCTTTCGTTCAGTTCCTCCCTTTTGTTTTCGCAAAGTTCTTGTGCGGCAATGTCAATTTTGATAATCCGCAAAGTGCGGTTTTATCACATTCTACACGTTTAACGGTACGCGACGAAACGAAGCTTCAGTGAAATGCGGTTCTTACCGGTGCCGTTCCAATCCGGAAGAACCGCCTGGCTGGCTCTATTTTCTTCCCGTCCGCTTCTTTAATTTTTGCACGTCTCGTCCAAGTCGCGAGCGACTCCACAGAGGCGTGATTAACCATTTGCAGCTCGATCTCCGCCCTATAAGTGATCATCGACTTCTCCGACCAGTACTCGAAAGTATCGTTACTGTCCAATCTCTAAAACGTAACGTGAACACAATTATCCTCTTTTAACTCGTCCCAATTTTCTGCTCCGAGCAAAAATAATTTCTTGCGGAGAAACTTTGTCCTTTCTTCTTGAAAATTAAAATCAGCGATACTAACCGTCATCAAAATCTTGTTGAATGTCTCCGCTGTGGTGTTCGAAGCTGGAGCGGAGTTATTGGAGGAGCATTGACCTGTCCTTGGCTCCACACTTATACCCGCTTTTTGTACATCGCTCATCAAACTCACGATCAGGCCAATTAAACGTTTGAAGTAAAAGGGGAATATCTAATGCAATAGAAGTTTTAATTAACCCGAAGGATGATGATTGTTTTCTGAAGAAACATTATTCTTTTCCTTTCATCAAAAGTCATTGTATCAGTGAACGATTTTCACGTTTGATCGGTACAATAGATGATTGTATAATTATTTTGACATTGAATTCAGTAATACAGACCTTGAAGTTCGTGGGACAATTACAGGACGCCTCGCCTATCAAACGACAGCAGATGTCGGTCTTCATAGTGAGAATGGTAAATGAGACGTTCAACAGAGGCTCGTTGAGATATCGAAATTCGTGATAATTATTGTCCGTAAACACTAAGTTCCAAATACCCTCTCTCTTAACTAATCCTCCTTCGATAGCCTAAAATATTATTTATGCTTGTAAGTAACTCGTATACTTATATTTACGTGTAATTGAAGTTATTAGGTTTAAAAATAGAAGGGCGAGATACACGTGTGAGCACATGACGCTCACCGTTTTAAAAAGTTCCTCCATTTTCGGCGTACTAGCGTAAATCGCGTAATAAGAAGGCGACGGCCGCATACCGCGTATTTTCGACACCGTTCTCTCCGTCAATTCGCCAATGACCACCAATCTGATGATCGAATTGCCGATAAGATAATAAAGACTCTGATTCATCTCTGAAAGCATGTTATAATATCTGACACACGTGTCGTATTATCGTTTTATCGTACAATGGTTGACCCGTCAAGCTATTTTTTTAGGAATCCTTTTAAATTTTAGCTTTACATTGATGAAATCTACACGTCTATACAGTTAGAAAAGGATGGACTATTTGGAGGCTGAGATATTCGCAATTAAAAATGAAATTTTTATACGTATTCCTTGCGGTTAATCTCCTATTTCTAATTTCTATTTTTAATTTCTTCCAAACTACATTTAGAATTTTAATGAAAAATTACCGTGATATCAAAGTTTAGTATAGAGACCATACAACAATTTCAAAATTATTGATCATTTTGCTTTGAAAATATTACCATAGAAAATTTACAATTTATAGTAAATGTTATAATGAAAAAATAAATATAAATAAATATCTCAACTGACGTATAAATAAAGCATTAATGAGAAAAATAAAAAATGAATCATATATCTCCGTGTTTGTAATATTATACATGTCTTAATTTCGCGCTCGAAATTAACACACACTTATTACTTAGATAATTAAATAAAATTATAGGAAAGTATTTTTTTTCAATAAAAAATAAACTGATGCAGAGGCCCCTTAATATCACCATTAAAAAGCCGGCACTCCAACTACCTTTAGAATCCGCCGTATCGCCTGCGACACGTTCGTCCTCGACTTGGATTATCCGCGAAAGCGTGCGCCGTACGTAAAATAAATAAATAATGCATCGATGCGATAAAGGGAGGTTCTGCGAAGTGGGCGCTCAAGGAAATGTACTATCACTGCGCATAACGAATCGCTATCGATCTTCGCGCCACGCACCTCTTTCGTCCTCGAAAATCAAGCCGACATCCGTTGCATTTTTCATAATTAAGAGATCGTCGATCGTTTGAACGTAAGGATTAATGCTGCAATCGCCGCGTTTGTATATTATCCCCCGGTCGTCAGCGATGCTTCGTAGCTTGTCCCAACCAGTCCACGTCATGTCCAGTATGATGCTTATTCCTTTGTAGAGAATGGCGCACACTGTCGGATAACGAAGAATGAAGAGCAATCGCGCAGCCATCGCGAGGCCTAAACGACGGACAATAACTATAAACAAGCACATAGAGAAAAAGATTTCTTGGAATTTAATAAAATTTCTTTAATAGAAACAAATCTTTTGGGACGGAGCAAACAAATGAATGTTTGATTCAACAAACGGGATTGCTTTTTTAAACAATAAATATCTTTACGTCAAATAACATGTTTTTTCTATATTTTCATCTAAACACTACAATGTTTGTCAGAAATAATAAATCACTTGAAAGAAGTATATTAGAAAAATGGGATAAAATTTCTTTGTTTTAGTGGAATAATATTTAATATGTAATAAAATACATTTTCTTCATTGAAAAGCAAATATTATTTCCTTTGAATAACACTGTCTCTTTCCATCAAACAACGTTCCTTCATTATTCTAGCGAAACAACGTCATTTTCACTTAAACCAAAAATATTTATTCGATATTAAATCATGTTCATATTAAACAAACCTAAGTCAAACAAATAATTATATTAAATCCAAAGAAACCTTTGTCTCGGTGCATCTTGTGCGATGCAAATAACGTTTCTCATTCGAGAGTTAGTTGTAAGTAAATCAACTGACGGGTGCCAACATGCACGTAAAGAACGTGTAACCTAATGAGAAGCGATTTTTCCCACAGGTGTGTACCTTTTTCGAAACTCGCGTCCACATTCTCGCGGTCCACCGTGACGGTCGCGACGTTAACGGTGATCATGTCGTTCGCAAAGTTCTGCTCCGCCGCGGGAACAGCGTCGTTCAATATACCCATGATGGACGAATCGGCCTCCTCTATCACGACCACTTGAAAACGGAAGGAAAACTCGAAATCAGCGTCGTCAGTCGTCGGAATGAACGAGGAACGAACGAATCAAAACGGACAAGTATCTACCGTTCCCGCGCGATGTTCTCAAAATCTGAAACGCTTCGCTCGCGGATTTCTCTCGGACAAAGTACCGTATGTTAATTCAATCAAAAGTTAACAGAAATCTCACACTAAACTCGATGCAGGGAACGGGTGAAGAAAAGTCATTGCCTCTAAACTCATGACACACGGAAAAAGTAATTAGTTCCCACGAGTAAAAATTACCTATAATCCATATAATAAACTGAAGTTTAGTTAATTTAGCACACTTTTTTGTCCCCGTACCTATTTCCTAACAGCTAAGAACCGAGTCTGATAACTAAATTTCAATTATATTGTACGGACAGCCAATTCCTTTTGTTTTTCTTTTTCACGTGCAAGTATCTGAAAAGAACGTTTCACTCGAGTGTACAGATAAATCTCGCGAAGTGAACTCCGTACTTACGCAGATTCATCGGCGTTTGGCAGAGCGCGAGCGGCAAAAGAAGCGCGAGGATCGTCAACACGGGCGACGTTCTCGTTGACATAGCGAGATGCGTGCGAGTCAACCTGTCAACCGGGGAAGACGAGAGTTAACTCGTCGCCCGCGAAATGACGAGGACACCGTACGAAGAGAGAACAACGGGAAACCGTTTTCTCGTTTCCTACCACGCGCGGAAGCACTCTTCTCTTTTCTTTCTTCATCTCATATTTACCTGCTTCACCGGTCTTTCGGTCTCTTCTTCAGTTCGACCCGGTTGGCGGGTTAAAGGTCGCGAGGCTGGTGAGCGAGCGGTACCTTGTATTTCGTGCAGCAGGTGCCAGGACAATACGGACGATACGAACGGCGCGATGAAACGACGATGAAGTATCTCTCTCACGCCTGCGCCGATGCCCGAAGTCAGAGGAGGTACACAACGATAGCTTATGAATATTAGACCGGCACCTATCGAATCGTAAATCCCTTTTGCACGACGAGCCTACATGGTTCCTCTGTGGTGGACGTACGAGCTCGTCGTTCCGTCGTAATCATAGTCGTCATAGACGTCCTGTCGCACGGCGGCGACTATCGGGCCATCGGGCCATCGATTTATCGCGCGCTGCTCGTAAAGTCGCTTGTACAACACCAATGCCAAACATCCATCCGCTCACGTTCGGCTACGGAAAGGGCAGATTTCGAGTTGCACTCCCCGCCTAGCGAAAATCGCCCTGTCCCGTAAGTCGCGGCGATGCCGTCGGCGACTCTTTGTGCATCGCTGGAAAAAATATATTTGATATATATAACTATAATAATTATAGTGAAAGAATTATTAGTCGAAACCATTTTTCTAGTAAGCGTTGCTTATAGTGTTAGCGATAACACTTTATACGCGCGGAGAAAAAGATTTCTTTCATTGAAATAAATCTGTCTCTTGGAATGGAACAAACAAATAAATGTTTGATTCAACAAACGGAATTGTTTGGTGTTAACATATTTTTGGGGGGTATTTTCATCCAAACATTATAATAGTTGGCACAAGCGATAAATTATTTGAAAAATGTAACTATGTTAGAAAAATAGTAAAGAAAATTTCATTTTGTTTCAGTAGAGAGAGAGAGAGAGAGAGAGAGAGAGAGAACAATGTTAAATATATAATAAAATAAATTTTTTTAATTGAAAACCAAATACCATTTTCTCTATATAATACTATTCTTTCGATCAAACAAAATAATATTTGACATTAAATTATGTCGTTTATATTAAACAAACCTAAGTCAAACGTACAAATACACTAAATTCAAAGAAACCCTTTTTTCTGTGCATATTTTGCTACTAATTTTGTGATTAAAACCACTGAAAGAAAAATAAATTTGCTGTTATAGCGATACCACATCGTTGCTACTGGATATTCGTTGACAGCGATAAAATTTAGTTGAATTAGCGAATTATTCAGCGAATTAGAGCAGAAACAGGTTTGTGGTCGGAAAAGAAAATGATCTGCTGAGTGAATTTGTCTTTAGGACACGTTAATTTTCTGTTGGAAGAAAATAGTGCGTTCCTACATTTACTAACTTGTTCTTACAGCAAAATAATTTGTTTGATTCAGCAAAATAACCCAGCGAATGGTAATTAGTGTTCTTAACAAATCGTTTTGCTGTCCATAAAATAATTGGCAAATTTGCCAGCAAATTATTTTCCTCTGTGGCATAAAAAGGTACGGTCAACGTTGAAAATAACTATAATTTCTCTCAGTGATTACATCACAGACAGGATGTGATTGTCGCGGGTTTCTCTTACATCGTACACTTGATATACCATATTTTCTCTTCATATTTTTATTGTTCTGTCATACTTTTATTACTTCAATTTGTTATATCGTCTCACTTTATTATATCTTTATTATTTAATATTTTTATTATCAGAGATCACAGACGATCGAAAGGCCTGATTTCTTTTGTTGAGAGCTTGTTAACGGTATCGTTGAAGCAGTATCGATAAGACGGCAATGAGGCCGACCGTCATCGATGTATGTGTATTATTTCTATAAGATATCGCGGATTAAATTGCAGTCATTATCGCGAAGATGATTCGGAAAAGTTGTAGTTTATCGTCAAATCGCTGCAAAGCGCGACACCGGGACGCTTCTTATTAACCGCCCGCGATTCGAGAAGCAAGTCTCAACAAATAATGGAACAACAGCCATTAAGCTTGCGTATGCCGCTGCAACAAAATGATCGATACGCATGTTATCGATTAGCTGCATAATACCGGGTGGGACGCACGTCCCGTTGACTTTTTCCCGTTGTCACGACGAAAACTCGCGTCGAACGTAACGACGGGCCTAATGGGCGACGGTGTGCCGTTTTACGAAAGTAACAAGTCACCGTCGATTATTTAAACGGCCGCCGGTTTTCTTTGCCGTCGGTATCATTACGGTGAACGAAAGTGAATTCCGCGAGGTCACTCCAGACGAATGAATAATTGTTGTCCACGCGACATACGTCACGCATCGTATCATTACCGAAGGTAATCGTAAATCGCTAGCCGGCTCGCTGAAAACTCCCCGATCGATAATAAACTACATCGATCGCGCCGATATCCCGGGAGCTGTCGCACGAAAAATGGGGGCTCGGACACGGTGAAAGAAACCAAAAATAAGGGATTAATTACATTTCGGTATAACCATGCTTCAATAAGAGAACTAAGATTAGGAATGCGAAATTCTATTCCTTATAATTTGTGCGCTCACTCCGTCCGAAAGTACGTAAAAATTTATTTCTGGGACATAAAGTTTATTTTTAAAGATTATTTGTCAAAATGAATCTTATTTCTGTGAAATAAATTTTTCATCCCGCGAGTAAATTTTTAATTATTTTCTTTTCAGTGTACAGTGCTGAGTAGTTGACCGAGAGTTAATCTTCAAAATATCTATGAAAATCAGTTTGAATCGATCGGTGATTATGAACGAAATGATAAAAAGTGTGAGTATCGCCGACTAATTTAATTCTTGTTCATTCCATTTGTTTCTATCTCTACTTATTTCATCACCAGCTCATTCAATTATTTCAGCCGGTGTGTTTGCGAAAATCTGGCCGCATCTCGTCGATGAGCGACACGCCGCATGGTATGCCGCAATTAAGCAATTTATCTTCTTAACCCGAGGACGGTTTCGTGTCAGAAGCGGCCGTTTTACATACTCGAGAAATCCACGCCACGAAGTTACGAAGTTCTAGGCGCGAGATCAGTCGTCGGCGTTGTTGGCGCGGAACGCCGGCGAAGTCACCGGTCGAAGATATCGACGATCGCGCGCTCCGAGGTTGATTAATTTCCATGCTTGAGGAAGCAGCGGCTCGGCGATGCGCGGTCGCGGGGAATAATGACGCCTCGAATCAAGATCGCATCGATGGAATCGCAGATGTTTGGACGGTGAAGCGCGCGACAGGTGCGATGGGATGCTTCGATAGTCCTCGCCACTATTTTTAGATCGTATTCCCGAAGTCGAGACGACGCTATTGTGACCGAGGGATGACTCTGATAAAATCTTTTTGTCAATAACGCCGAGCCAATCGCGCGGCGAGCCAACCCGCGGCAATTCGTCACGTAATCGATCGTCGCATCTATTACTCATTGTCGGACACGGTGTGTATGATTTATTGCGGATTAATAGGGCATTGTGCATTTAGAGAGCACATTTTCTCCACGGTTGATGGAACGACATGATCGGTACACGCGACGTTTCGCATTTATCGGCGTGTACACGCGAACGCGCCGTTGTCGCAACGGAAAATAAGAACGCTGCGTGAAACTGAAACACACGTCGTGATCGATCGTACGCACGTCCCGTCACCGTTAGTTTCTCGCACGGAGAATTTATTCGACTGAATTATTATTTTTAACAGATCGCGGATAGTTTGAACGAAGAGACCGAATCCGCTCGTCGGTATTCTTTTACCGACGACTGATGGCGTCTTTCTACGATGTTTTCGCATAATTTTCATCAGCATATGGAGATGAATATAATGAATGAATGGAAAATAACACTCTACAATGCCGTGCGAAAATAACTTGATGAAGCATTATTTACATTCACGAATGAAAACTACTCGCGTACAATTTTTCACGTCGGTGCTGAAGTGTATGATTCACTCTCCGCGAGATGTCGCTGTAATGCAACGCTGCGAACCACTCGAGTTAAAAGATTCAAGATGTCGTCGTCCACTGAGGAGGATCACTGCGCAAAGATAAGTTCTGTGCGTAATAATTAGCGCGACGTCGACTAATCGCATTCTTTAAGCGTCGAATTAATTCTCAATTCAACGTTCGTCACGCTCGCCTCGCAGAGACTCGAGATCGAGTCGTCCCGTCATACGCGCGATATTACGACGCCGGAAGGCATCGCTCGGCAAATATTGGCAACGTGCGCGATCTTCTCCGAGTCAATTGATTGAAACGATAGGTAAAGCGCGCCTTTGCGAGGAGTCGTCCGTTCAAGTCGGGCGATCTCGCATCGGAGGCGAGGAATCAAAGTCAAGAAAGCGTGCGCGAGCTTGCGGTGCGTGAAAACGCCGTGGCAGGAGACGCGCGATCGCACGAATTGCATGTGCGTGCGCGCACACACAATAAAAATGCAGTGTTCGGATATTTCGGGCGGTGTGTATTTTCGTTGCATAATTCGGCCCACCATATGCCGTTTAATCAAGCCGAGCGGAGCTCGGAAAAACGCCGTTCCAGTTTCTCGTATATGCGCGCGCGCACACACACACGCCCGTACGTATTTTGCCGCCGCGCCGGCGCGCGGCCACCGTTCTTGAAATACATGGGCATGAATGAACGTTTTCTAGTCTCATTCATACGTTTAATCCGTTCATCCGACGATGATCCCGCTCCGTCTGCGCTTTAAGCGACGCGACGGTGATTCTAGTTTAACGTTCTCGCGGGATATTATTTCATATTTCAGCGCCGTGCATTCGGATATACCTGTGGACGTCAAAGTTCCCCGGGAGGCGCGATCAAGAGAGGAGGAGGGAATCGAGATCGCCCAATTTTCTCCCGTCGAATGCATATCGCGGGTTCTCTCGAAGTCCAACCCTTGGAATTTCACCGCGGGAGAGCCGTCGGGCGGTACATAATGTACCGCGAACAATGGTGTAACCGCCATGACTGGACGTGACTGGCGGCGGTAGCGACACACAGACCGGCGCGAAAGCGAGACGGCAACGCCGCGGGAGAGCGACGGACTTCAGGTCGACTTTCGCCGCTGTGACAGATCGCGACGCGGCCTATCGCGCTGCCGCCTCGCGGATCGAACGGAACGCGAGATCACGTGCCAGCTGGAGAGCGCAGCTAACTGTCAGTGGGCGAGCGTCCGGCCAATGAGGGCGCTGTTGAGAGTGACGTGACAACGTCGCAGTCTAGCTCGGAGTCGTCGCTCGACCACGACTGTTCCTTCGTAGTCGGTCGTAGTCCGTGTCTGACAGTGCGGCTCGCTGCTGCATAACCGTCCGCGGAGGGCCCGTCGGGGCCCGCGATAGAGATAGAGAGAGAGAGAGAGAAGACGCACACACGCGCGACGATAAGTCGCCACCACGATGACAGATCTGACAGCGTCGTCGGCAACGAACGTACCTGGCACGAGCGAGGTAACGACGGTGCGACAACAGCATAGCTGTCGAGCGCGATAGAGAGAGAGAGAGAAAGAGAGAGCCGTTGCTGCCAACGGGAGCAGCCGAGTTCTCGTCGCGCGACGATCACCGGGGGTGTTTCGCTTGGCGTTACCTCCGAGGAAGAGAGAAGCAGCGTTGGACGCCACGGGGAAAAAAGGAGCAGTGTGTGATCGCGGAAGGAAGAAGAGAGAGGATACGGGCAACGTGTGGCGGCGCGACAGGAGGAAAAGAGGAGAACAGGCGGTCGGTAGCCATTCGGAAGTAACAGTGTCAAAGCACCGCCGTGCATCTGGGACGTCAGTGGGACAAGTGAGTGCGCGCGTGCCCATCGTCGGCGTGTGTCAACGTGTGTCAGAGTGGCCTGGCGATCGGAGAGAGAGAGAGAGGAGACAGTCAATCGGTGCGGGCGGGCGTCCGTCCACTCCGGTCGCGCCGTCTCCGTCCGACCAGTCGCGTCGCGTGGCTCCTTCTCGTTCCGCCTTTTCACTGGCGCGACACGCGTACGTAAGGTATACGTGCGCGCGCGATAGAACCGACGACGGCGCGGCCGAGTGTGCCGGAGCGGATCGACCGTGGAAAAATTCCCGGATAATGGAGAGTTCCGCGTGTGCCGTCGACTGAGGCGATCGGGCGTGAATCTTTCCGTGTGTGTATCTTCCACCGGGAAGGTGGAGGCAGGGAGACGGACGGAACGGGAGAGATTAGGTTAGGCCGAACCGCGTCACCGCACCTCCCACTCCCCCGGGTGCACCATCTCGCTTCTACGTGCACGCCCGTTCCCATCTTGCTCCTGCCCGACGGACGACGTGGAGGGAGAGAAACGCGAGAGAGAGGCACGAAAAGGGAGAGCGAGGGAGAAAAAAAATAAGGAAAGAGGGTGAGAGACGTCGACGACGACGACGACGGTGCGCGACGGTGGCTGGGGAATCCGAGGAAAAGCGGGAGAAAAACACAAATGCCGATCGCCGGTGGAATTCTGGTCGCTGGATCGACGACGACGGTTCCCTGCGTGTCCTCCACCACTGGCATGCTACGTTTCATCGACAGGCTTTCAGGTTAGCGCGAGACACATCGCTATTATTGCACGAGTACATCCGCACCGCTCGCGCGAATTTAGAGTTCGGCGAGACGGCGACAGTTTGACGCATCGAACGTTTCCGCTCGAGACGAGAAAGAAAGAGAGAGGACGGTACACCTTTTTTCCTCCGACGGGGAAGGTGTAGTGACCGATCTCTCTCTCTCTCTCTCTCTCTTTCTCTCTCGTGTGCTCGGAATTTTATCGCTACGCCTTCCACGATTTCTTCTCCTCTTTATGTTAGTTTTGCCCGTCCCTATTGAAAATAGTCGAGAAACATTCGTCAGGTTGACTGGAAAAATGTCGAGAAAATTGGCGCCGTCTACGACGGTATGAAACGTGTATTTCTACGGTACGTTGCATGTCGCGGAAATAGGAGGGACGTGCTTCGATCTCTCGACTATCTTTGTCCCCGTCGCTCTCTCGCGCGAGCGTTCGTTCAGTTAGCGTTTTTTAAGGATCGCCGACGCGACGTCCAGGAATACGGCGTGCGGTGAATCGCGGCTTCGCGAATTCGCCGCCGAATTTTCGGTACGCCGGTCGCGCTCGGTCTCTCTCTCTCTCTCTCTCTCTCTATCTATCTCTTTCTCCATTTCGGCGCGCCGTTAAGTGTAAACGTACGTGCGAGCGACGTAGACAGAATAAAAGGGACAAGAACGTAGACGCCGAAGAGAGCTCGCGCAAAGAGACAGACGGAGAGAGAGACGGGCGTTCGCATACGCGGTGCGATCATTTTTTCGCCCGGAGACCTCATGGTCGTCGGATATCCGCGACGAGACGAGACGTGCCTTTCCGTCCGCTCGCAATCGCACGAATAGAAACGTAGTAATAAAACGACACCTCCGAACGTAAAACAGAGGCCGAGAGAACGAGCGCGCGCCCCGGCTTTCTCGAGAGTCCCGTCGATTCCGCTCCGCTTTCCTCCGTTCCCATCGACGGGACGGCCCCGTCTCTTTCTCGTGACGTTTATAAATATATTCTCTCGCGATATATGGTCTACGCGAAAACGACGAGAAAGAGGCGGGAGCGAGAAACGTCGATTTTCCGCGAGCTCCGTCTGGCTTCGTTATTGGACTCGCGACCGGGCCGGAAAAGAGTTTGTCGAAACTCGGTGAAAGCGCTGGGTAAAACAAACGCGCGAGAGATTAATCGCGATTCCCCCGTCGCTTTGCTAATCCGTCGGTCCGCGGCGTGCCGCTTGTCACGCTCGTAGAAAAATCACGTCGCTCACTTTGTCTTCCGTTTGCGATCGAACTTCCTTTGTTCGCCGCTCGCGAAGGCAATTAGACGACTCGCAGAACGAGCCGCACGCTTCTGAAACTAGCGAGATCGCGATGGGACGTCGTTAAATACGCGGTCGGATCGATACACTCGGGGAAACGGGGTCTCACATCTGAAATGTTTTTTTTATCAGCTAGAAAATTATTATCGACCGCTCTATGATTTATTTAGGGACATTGTAAATATAGATTGACTCGCTACTTTTTTTTTTGGAAAAACGAGGATAAAAATATTTAAGGAACGGAATAAGCGCGTCAAATATTCGTGATTGCGTAAAAAAATCAAGGTGACTGTTTAATAAGAAGTGTGACTGGCCTTACTTAATCTGGACGGGTTTCATAGAAAGACTTGCTTGCTAAATAGTTTAAATAGACATTCTGTCTCTGTCATCTATATCGATTAGATACAACACGTATGTGATATTGAAATATTTACTTACCCATCTTATCTAATTTCTCGTATCTACATCATTTTCGCTTTGACTGCAGCAAGACTTTTTCTATTTTTTTTTTTGAGTGTAGCTTTCTTCGGATTAATTTCATTGTCATTTTCGAACGGTTATTGCGCATCGTCGTGTCGTTGTTCTTCGACGCGACGATAATTCGGCACAACCGTTTGCGTCTCCCTCCGTCCTCGACTAATACAAATAGTACCGAGTTTCTTATTAAAACACTTACGGGCGTTTTATCTTTAGAACTTACGGAGACAGTGCTACGGGATACTGCTTTTTTCTTCTTAACGGAAATAGCTATCATTCTATGGAGCTTAGAATGAACCTACGCTATAAACGATACGCGACAGAATTTATTTTCGTGTACTCTCTACGCGTGCGTCGCGTTAGAGGACATCAACGACGATTAAAAAACAAATACGGACGAGACGGAAACTAATTGGCGGATGAATGAAACAAAAATCGATCGAGCGTCCATTTAACGAGATTATTTGTCGAGCAGAATGAGAGATCCCGAGTCGAAATTTTGCTTCTAAATTTAGTCTGATTCTACGTTTCAAAGGGACATTATAGTGCCCCCTTTGATGCTACAAATGATCGTATTTTCCATGTTGAAACTCAATGTAACATTTCGACCCGAGAAGTCTCAACATGAAAAATACGGCAATAATTTCCCATTTGTAACATCAATGAGCGCAATAGCGTTTTCTCCATATGTAGGAGTAAAATTTCGACTCGACGAATTCGTAAAATAGAACGGTGCATTTGATAATTCGCTCGCGTGATGCTTCAACAGAGAAGTAAAATCATATTCCAGTTTCGACGAGGGAATTACCATCGTTTGATCTAACATCCACTATCTACTATCGCGTTTAATTTAGCACTTATTATTACGTACAACGTTATCTAATAGAAACGAATTCGCGTTCTTAAAACGTACCGAGAGTTGCAACGAGGCTCCAAAGATGTTGCTTGTTAAGAGACGAGACGTGTGCATTATTCTTCATTACCGGTGCTTAAATGCATTGTAATATGGAATGGAATAAAATCTACACGACATTTGCGAGAGAAACGTAAAAGTTCATTAGCACCGATGATCGTCTGAAATTTTACAGTTTGGAGCTGTCCCCGATAGCAAATAGTACACGAATTATTACGCACGTATGGCGCGTAATGCAGACTTTCCGATTTGATAATGAAATATTAAGCGACCGAATTACCAAAAAAAAAAAATATATATACTCTAATTAGCTCGCGTCTTAAATTTTAACGAAAATCAAGACAACGTATCTCATGCAGATATGTTCTATTTTTACGTTAGGACAAGAATCGCGACAATTATTTAACGATTGATTATTAAAATTACATAAAATAGACTGGCCGATTCCAATTTCGCAATTGAGCCTTCTCGGCCAGAAGTCAATCTCAATTTCATCATCGTTGATGTGATATCGATATCGTGTCTGTCTCTGAGTATCCAAAATATTGATAGCCGTCGTGAACGTTAATTGAAATTTCTCCGGCCAATTTGTCGATTCGCGAAGAGAGAGTTAAATTGTCCGGCGCAAGCCGTAAATCCGCTCTTATCCGCGCAGCACCTCGATACAGCCTTTCTCATCTTGATGGGACGATTTCCGCTGGAAAACATCTCGCGACACTCAAGAGTGGGAAATGAGGAAATAAATCTGTGAAAAGTCGCCGTGCCACGTAGCGTCGCATCGGCCGCGCGCAACAATGAGGACGTAACGCCTATTTCTAAATAGATGTTAGACGTGGGACTGTTGTACCGACACAACAATGAACAACCGTTATTATTAAGTCCTTTAGACGGCGAACCGAGTCATCTACGTCGCTTACTCGAATCTTCCCTCTTCTCACCTACTTCTCTTTCGTCCCTTTCCCCGAGTTTTCCTTTTAATTCTCTATAACGACACGTAATTTTCGACCTACGTGCTCGCGCAACTATATTTTTTGTCCGATGTCTCCTTTGTTTACCACCGTGTGCTAGTGTGACTTTGAGGCGATAATATTGCCACCGAGTAGCCTGTTTAGAACAGTTACCGATTCCTCTTTCTGTCACGTTAGAGTGAATTACTACGAAATATATATAAATCGAAATTTATATGATCGATTTATGTCCCACGATCTCACTGTTAGATATTTCTTTCTTGTGTCATCCTTTTTTAGAAACGAAAAATTCGGTTATGGGAGATTAATTTTTTTATGCGATTTACGCGATATTTGACGATAAAGTCTAACGTATATTCGTCATCGGTAGTGACTTGTGTTTTCAATTATTAATAGGCAAAGTTTTATTCTTTCCGCCGATATGTCCGGAAAATATTTACTATTTTCATCGAGACAGATTGACGATTCGATGTGATAATAGGCGAATCGAAATTTTAAATTCTACGTCAAGTCTTTGAGTGGAAGAGACGGAAATAAGTTCCCGCAATAAGTTCACAATAAGTGCTCCTTTTACGCTACAAAAACGGGAGTTGAGACCTCCCGAGTCTAAATTTTAGTTCTAAATTGAGTCTTCAAGGGGAGGAGAAAACGGCAATAACTCACCTATTTGTAGCATCAAAAGAGTACAATAGAAGATCTTCGTAAACCTAATGTGGAACTGAACTAGATTTAATGTAGGACTAAAATGTCAACTTGGATACCATCGTGAATTTCTTTTGCATTCTCTCGCCTCTTCTAAAATCGAAATATTTTTCCCTTGTTAACTTGAACACGATAAACTTCGCGAAAGCAATATAGTTATCGACATACGCCTGATAATTCCGACTAAAACGATCCGTAGGCCGATTTGATCGCCGATATGAGTTCGAGATTGATATGCACTCTACTCAGCAGCAGAAACTTTTCGCCAATCGATTCCGTTTCGTGCACGATGTGTTGCTGTAACAGCGGCCGCTAGATAGATATATGCACACCTGCAACGATGAATTTACGCTAATTCCCCGTGTATATTCTCGATTTGATGCGGTAAAATCGCGATGCGGACTTGACCGCATGACGCGTTTATTGAGTTGAGTTATAAATAACTTCCGTCGGAGATAGCAAATATTTAATTCTCCCGGACACACTCGCGGAAGGAGTTATGATGATAGGGTACGTTACTGGCAAACGCGCGAGTCATCATTAATAATAAAGAAATTACGTAGATTAGAGTTCACATCGTGAAACGCGAGAATAAGAAGTCGCGGAAAAGTATCGATAAAGTAGGTTTTTATTATTCT